TGGCTTGTTTTTTGCTAACAAGGATTCTTAAGTAAGCAACAAACCCTGGTTTGAGGCTGGCAAGAGATCAGATCCTGGCTTATTAGGGAGAAGCAAACCAGAGCCCAGGTGCAGATGTTGCACTGAGCTATCCCTTTCACACAGCTCCTGTTTACTGAGCCAGGATACCTGGGTATCACCATATGTGAATGTGGCCACTGACTACTTGTCATGATTGCTATATGCTACTTCTAGGATCACAGACAGAATCCCTAGAGGAGTGGGATACTGACCTCACATCCTGCTTGTGTGTTTCCCAGGGACATCCTGTTGCTCACTGTGGGAAACAAGATTCTGGACTAGACAGGCCTTTGGTCTGATCCACATGGACATGAAGCAATAGTCAGAAGGCATGTGACACAGTTCTACTGCTGAAGCTAAGGGCTCCTGGGCCTATAAGCTGTCTAGATAGGGGACTCTTGAGAACCATATATAAGCTGCTCCAAACTTTGTGCATGTCCTATAAATTTCTATCCAGAAGTAAGCCCGTATGTGCTATTGTAAACTTATTTCATATGACTGCAGAAAGATAATTCCGAAAGTAGTATTGCACAATCTGGTGTTCATAATTCTACAGGACACATCTGGCCTCTGTTGAAATTCACAAGTCCTGAATTTCGCACAAAGAAAACCTTAGATAATGTTAAAACATGTTTACCACTAACTTTCTTTCATCCTTAAGGAAAGAAGCCTGATAAAAACGTTTCTTTATCTACTCTTAACACTTTGATTACATCTCTTGCAACCTGCCCTACAAATAATTTAAGGTATAATACTATCACTAATATTCAGCATCCATAAACTGCCTTTCAAAGCACAAATTGCCCAACGAAACATACTGAATGTTAAAATGTGCACTACATATAAATTATGATAGGGTTTAGGGACAACGCTGTCAAATAAGTAGTGGGATTTAACTCAGTTGGTTCCCATTGAAGGGCAATCAGATGTCATCCAAATACTGAGAGTTTAACTGGCTTATGGCTGCCACCCAAGACTACAATGTGGAATAACTGGTTGAAAGTATTGGTTTTCTGAAAACAGCCACCTCTTTGATATCTGTGACCTTTCTCTTGCTCTCACTAGCCAACTTTCAAGTGGTCCTCAAGACATTTCACAAGGAAAGCAATAACTCCATGAATAGAAGGCATTAGAAAAACAATTAAAGTACATTCATGCTTTCAACAACAAGCACTGCAAAAGAGTTGCCATCTTGCACAAGGGGAAACAGCCAGATCTAAGGGGCAAACCTGTCAAAAGAATTCACTCTGAGGGCTGGTGTTGACAGGTTGCCAACAGTGCTGGCTCTCATGGACTAGTCAAGGCTTGAATTAAATAGCTGCCCTTGACATACAGTAGATTTAATTAATAACATTGAGGGTAAAGGAGAAAGTTGAGAATCACCCCACAAGAAATGAAAGAGTGCCTTTTAGAAAATATTCAGAAATTTGTTCCGTTCAGTTATGGAGTCACTACTGACAACAACTTATCTACAGGTAACAGATATAATTTCTACCACAATCAGTTAGTAGGGTCATAGGAAGCTGCCTTCCATGGAGTCAGAAACTTGGTCCATCTAGCTTAGTATTGTCTACACTGACTGACAGGGTTCTAGGCAAGAGCCTCTCCCAGATTTACCTGCAGACACCTAGGATTGAACCTGGAACCTCCTGCATGCCAGGGATGTGCTGTACAACTGAGCCACAGCCTTTCCTAATGTGATGGTGACAATGTGATCCAGCATTTCTCCAGAGCCAAATGATGTTGACGGCCATGTTCACAGACATTGACAAAGAAGTCTTTATCTCATTTCTGTCTCTCAAACTTCTTCCCAAAGGGTCTTCTCATGTTATCCTCCCTAACTCTGCTGAATCAAGCCAGTGGCCCATCTAGTCCAGCATCCTGGTCTCATGGTGGCCATCCAAATTCTTATGTTGAACCCACAAGCATTCTGGTGGCTTACTGTGGTTCCTAGATTCATCTGACTGCTCTCCCACTCCCTGCAGCTGGAACCTAGTACGTGGCTGAAAACCTAGTGCAAGGAAGGGTTGTCTATATTTTCAGAGCCCTTCGGAACTTCTCCTATTATACACATTTTTGTGTCTGGTAGTCTCAGCTACTTGCACTCTTCTTTTTAATATCTGTTAAGTGTTATGAGCCATCACAACTTTGCTTTCATGCCCATTTTACTGATACCAATCACAAGTGGATACAAACAGGATAGTCATCCAAAAACTATATAAAAAGGTTTGTTTTGTTTTTTTAGGTTTGCATTAAAATGAACTTTGGCTCGGAGCACTGCATAATCCAGGCACTCATACTAAACTTTCAGAATGTAAGCAAAATATAATGTGATCCATTATAGATAAATCAGGTTTTAAATTGGATTATCTTTTCTATGAGAAGATGCATTAGGAATATAAATTACCCTGTAAACCTCAAATCCCTCATTCCTACTTTTTCAGTTGGCTCTTCCACAGCACTGCTTATTCTTTGACATAAGTAGAGGTGATAATGGCGCTATAAACCTACAATGATTCTTTGCCAATGCTTCTTACTGACCTTGATTGCTCACTCTTGTTTTCCTTCTCTTCCAGAACTGATAGCAGAGAATCTGTTGCTATTCATCAAGCAACTGTAAAGTGCCTTTTTCTGTTTGCAAAGCAGATATTGTCATTTAAAAACACACACAATGCATTTCTGAGGCAAATAATAAACATGCTCCAATGGTCTGCAATAACTGCTTGCCAGTTACCAATACTGCCTGGTTCCATAGGTGGAGGTGGTGGACAGGGTTGTGGTGGAGCAACTTCAAGCATTCATGGATGGTCAGGGAGGATTTGGAGGAGCAATGGACAGAAGGCAGAACAGGGGCTCGGGGATGCTGAAGAGTCCCACAACCACCCAGAGACAGAGGAAGCGGAAGAGAAGGCAGAGAGTAGCCAGGGAGAGCAAGGGCTCAGGGATGCTGAAGAGCCCTGCAACCACCCAGAGGCTTGGGAAGGAAGCTCTTTGCTGGCACAGGAATCATAGGAAGCCACTCCCCAAATCTGACTCAACGGGTTCGGACGCGTAGTTCTGAACTGTAGCTGTTTCTTGTACAGTGGTACCTCAGGTTAAGAACTTAATTCGTTCTGGAGGTCCATTCTTAACCTGAAACTGTTCTTAACCTGAGGTACCACTTTAGCTAATGGGGCCTCCCACTGCCGCCGCGCAATTTCTGTTCTCATCCTGAAGCAAAGTTCTTAACCTGAGGTACTATTTCTGGGTTAGCGGAGTCTGTAACCTGAAGCGTTTGTAACCCAAGCTACCACTGTGTATATGTAATAAAGACTGTAAATACCACACTGACTGTGCCGGAGTGTAACTGCGAAGGGGAAACACCACCTAATCAGATGACACTGATTATCTGGATCCACCTCAGTCTGACTTCAGGGCTGGGTTGAGGACAGAATCAGGTTTGATCACTCTGGTGGATGACCTTTATTGAGAGAGAGAAAGAGGAATGCAACCCTGTTACTCTTACCATGTATAATCGTATAAATTTGTAATATGTTCTCCAGTTCGTCGTCGTCGTCATCGTTGTCTTCTTCTTCTTCTTCTTCTTCTTCTTCTTCTTCTTCTTCTTCTTCTTCTTTCTAATAACCTAACCAACACCAAGCATGGATGCCTAGAGAGATATACATGTTGAAACCTCTGACATTTGTGTGGCTGCACTGAAGCCTACTGTACAGAGATAAGAACCACATTTGTTGCTCTGCTCATCCCTGACCATCAGCCCCAGAAGGCAGACCACAAGGAAACGTGACCCTTATGCTGAAGAATGGTTCCTCACTACTGTGTTGGGCAAAGGCTACAAAAGAATGGACCTTTTCTGTACAGGTGTCCAAATGGTGGAACTATCTCCAGAGCCATAGTTTTTTGGTGCCTTCGTTGTTATCTTTCTTTTTAGAAAAACGTATTTATTAGAACATATGACATGTAACAATCACACAAAATGGAAATAAAACAATGTCTCCCAATATACTAACAAAGTTACATCAAAGTGTATATACCAAAGCCATCACAGTTTTAACAGACTACAATGGTACCTCAGGTTAAGTACTTAATTCGTTCCGGAGGTCCGTTCTTAACCTGAAACTGTTCTTAACCTGAAGCACCACTTTAGCTAATGGGGCCTCCCGTTGCCACCGCACAATTTCTGTTCTCATCCTGAAGCAAAGTTCTTAACCCGAGGTACTATTTCTGGGTAAGTGGAGTCTGTAACCTGAAGCGTATGTAACCTGAAGTGTATGTAACCCGGGGTACCACTGTACAAGAGTTTATATGTAGGCAAGAGGAAGGAACAAAAAATAATAATTTTTTGCCATGCATGGCAAACTATGGGTACACGACAATTTTTATGCAGTCTTGGGGTAACTCCATTGATTACACAAATAATATGGTAGAACAGAATAATCTTTTAGATACCCTATGGTGCATGTCCTGTTCACTCAAGCTTTTAATGATATTCATGATCTTTATTCAGACAAATTTTTAGATGCCAACCTTTTATAGTAATTTATACTGCTTGCTGCTACCTTGTATATTAATTTTCCTGTCTGGTTTTATGTGATTTTGATTGTTGTTACCCACCCTTAGATTATTTCAGATGAAAGCCAGGATATAAGTTTTTGAAGTAAAATTTAGAAAAATCCAAATCTCTCTTGAAGTAACTTGAGGGCTTTTTAGATGTAAAAAACAAACAAACCTGGATACAAACCGACCAACCAATTTATACAAAGGTGATTGAATGAATGAATTTGATGTGTTTAGTTTTCTCCATTTCTTGTCTTATTTCCCTCACTACCCCTCATGGAATCATGGCTTGTTCCTTTATCGATGTCATAAACAGATGCTATCTCTCAAGAATCCAAGCATCCAACGGGGTCTGGGATGGATTGTATAGCCCTGGCAAGGAGGCTGGTTTTGGTATGGAAGAACAGAAGTTACTGCAAGACAGTAACTAGGCGGGAAATTCAAGTGCAGGGTGGCTGGCAAGCACCTCGCAAATCACCTCAGAGCCACAGCAATGTCTAGAGGGACAAAGCCCGATGTGACTGAGAACTGCCCAGTCTTGCGCCCACCGCAGCAGGGGAGACAGCAGGGCTGTCGAAGGACCCAGGCACGACAGGAAGACTCTGACGAGGAAGGGCACAAGCGCCGGGCCAAGAAAAACGCAGGGGACCCCGATATTGTGAAGTCCCCCAGCGACCACAAAGAATACAGGTGAATAAAGGGTCTGGAGAAAAGAACAACCCCCCCCCCTCAAGAGGCCAACAGCACTGTAAATGTCACAGTGTGTCCCAAGTACGTAAATAACCTAAAAGTACAGACTCGGTCACATAGTAAGTTTAAAAATTAAGAAGCAATTAAGCAATATCAAGGCATTCCCACCAGCATACCTGGCTAGTAGTAGCAATTTTTTTAATGCAATGGTGGGGACTTGACTTCCAGGAAATCTGCATGAATTCATACTATTGTGAAGAGGGTAGGCTGTGCTTAACTCAGTGACAACAGGCGAAGGTTGCTTGCTGCAATCTCGTGGAGAACTGTTTCCCATGTCCTTTTTGTGATGCTTCACTGTTTGGAGCTTGTAAGGAGATGTTGACAAACTGGAGGACATAATAGAGATTTATACAATTATACATCATGCAAAGGGAATATTTTCTGTCTCTTTCACGGCACTAGAATTCAGGGTAAATGGATGCAAAACAGACAAAAAAAGGAAGGTGTTTGAATGACATTTAATCACCTAGTGCAATTTGTTGCCGCAAGATCTGATTATGGACTCTGGATTAGATATAGTATTTAAAAGGAGGGTAGATAAATTTATGGAGGACAGATCAGTTTTACTTAGCATATTAGGTAACTGGAACATCAAGGTTCAGAGATAGGCAAGCAACTAATACCACTTGATGGGGTGGGGCAACAAATGAGAGGGGAGTGATTGTTGTTCTCATGCTCTGCTGAGGACTTCCTGTGATTGTCTGTTGACTACTGCTGCAAGCAGGACATGGTGCTAGTTGGACATTTGGGCTGTGCTCACACTGACACATCCATAGTGCAAAAATAAATGTAGTTTTTAATCCAGAATCATTCATCCTCATCCTCAACAGGCTGCTTTCCACAAAGGGTGGGTTTAGTTACTGGATAGGCATTTGAAAACCCTCTCCTTGACCAGATTATGCTTGCATTTTTCTCCATGCACATCCCCAGGTTAATAGAGAAGGGAGCGTTGACTTGCCATCTTGGTAAATGCACGCCCACATTGGGCAAAAAGAGAAATAGAAACAATAAAAATGCTCATGGAATTACTTTTGCAGGTACATAAAATTAAGCAATGGCCTGAACGCTCTGCTGATTTCTGACTTATATATGGATGACTGCAATTCTTCTGAGGCATCAGAAGAGGAAGACATGTCCTCTGATACGGACGATGGGAAAGACAGCAGCTTTGAGGACGAGAAGGATGGGAATGTGGAAGAATTTGGAGAAGTACCTGGAGGAAGAGAGGCCTCTATTGAAGGTTATGCTGGAGTTCTAAGTGGTCTTGGTAGAAAAAGTAAACAAAAAGAGCGTCGTGGAAGCAGAATCAAAGACGAGAACGATGACTATGAAATTTATGAACAGCTAGTCAAGAAAGAAGAGGAAAATAAGATGGACAGCACAGAAAAGCAGGTACGTTAGCAAGCAGCATGTTGACCAGGCAACGTTTTCCCTAAGCTAAATATAGGGCCATTTGACACACAACAAAAAGGGAAACCTGTAAGGTATGTTCAACAGGGAGCAACAAATCAGTGAGTATACCTGTACAATACACATCTCTATGCAAACCTCTTTTAGCCACATTTTTAATTTTTGTAGGTGTATACCTATATATTATTTGAATTGGCTCATACGACAGTGGTTTTTAACCTTTATTAATATATATTTTCCATTTTTAACCTGCCTTTCAAAATGAGATCTTTCCAAAGGCGGTTTACAAAATGGATAAAAGCAATAGTGATGAACAAGGAAAAGGAATATCACAGCACATTTCATGGAGGAAAGGGCTATCAAAGTCATGGCTATGCTCCACCTTCATGGTCAGATGCAGCAATGCTTCTGAATACCAGTTTCTGGCAACCACAGGAGGAATAAGGTTTGGAGTCCTCTATGAAAGGGGGAGAATGAGCTATACTTCTGACTGGATTGGATGGAGGGGCACTGCACAGAAAATTTTTCATAGAACTAATACTTACTTACACAATATGGAAAATACAGGTGACTACAAAGAGAATTTTGGTGTCAACAACAATATATTATATTACTTATACACCACCCATCTGACTGGGTTGCCCCAGCCACTCTGAGCGGCTTCCAACATAATAAAAACACAGCAAAATATCAAGCATTATCCCAATACAGGGCTGCCTTCAGAAGTCATAGAATCATAGAATCATAGAGTTGGAATAGACCACAAGGGCCATCAAGTCCAACCCCCTGCCAAGCAGGAAACACCATCAGAGCACTCCTGACATATGGTTGTCAAGCTTCTGCTTAAAGACCTCCAAAGAAGGAGACTCCACCACACTCCTTGGCAGCAAATTCCACTGTCGAACAGTTCTTACTGTCAGGAAGTTCTTCCTAATGTTTAGGTGGAATCTTCTTTCTTGTAGTTTGGATCCATTGCTCCGTGTCCGCTTCTCTGAAAGTCTTCGGAAAGTTGTGTAGTTCTTTTATCTCCTTGACATCTGAAGGGAGGGCATTCCACGGGGCAGGCACCACTACTGAGAAGGCCTTCTGCCTGGTTCCCTGTAACTTCTCTTTTTGCAGAGAAGGAACCACCAGAAGGCCCTTGGAGCTGGAGACACACCTCACCATACACTGAAAGCACATTATTGCCCCTCCAACAAATCCTGGGAACTGTAGTTCTAGGCTAAGCTACAGCTCCCAGTATTCTTTGGGGGAAATAATTTTTATTCAATGTGCTTTAAATTTATGGTGTGAATGCAGCCTAAGTCTTGATCTGTTTTCTTTAAGATGGGGAAGCATTGTGATGGAACTGGAATTCTTTTATATTGGGGAAACATGCTGCTTTCTTTGTGATATAATGTCTATCCCCCCTCTCTCTCTCTCTCTCTCTCTCTCTCTCTATATATATATATATATATATATATATATTACAGTCTGCAGCTGCCCTTGCTGTTGGTGTTGGCAGTTTCTGTGACCCTGATGATTTACCTGGACTAGCTCATTTTTTGGAGCACAGTACGTAGCTACTTCTATATGTCTTTCTACCAAAAAAGAAAGCCACGGAAAAGATAGTCTATAATTTATTGGCCTGGGAGGCAGTTTTCTGGAATCAAAACACAATTATCAATATTTTCTTTTACGCACAGCTTGAAACTGATTTATAGTTTTATTTTAAAAGTTGATGAAATCATGGTTGAAAAGAATTAATAGATTAATAATAAATAAACTTAGCAGTTAATGGCCTGAAGAAAGAAAGGTCTTCCCATAATCTCATACCTTCCTCAGCTTGGTGTCTCCAGATATTTTGGACCCAAGAGTCCACTAGCTCCAGCCACTATGCCCAATGGTCAGGGATGGTGGGATGTAGTCCAAAACATCAGGCTTGAGGAAGGTTTTGTGAACATATCTGCATATTGAAATCATTGGGTGGGGGTTGGGGAAGCCTGCTTTATTTACCTGCTCTGTGATACCGTGTGATATGCGGTACCACATTTGAGGGGGACCTTCCAAAATCCCTCCTGGTGGAGCATTCTAGTGGTTGCCTAGCAGTAACAGCTGAGTCCGGGAAGCCACCCACCTTTTAAATTTCCCATAATGCCTTAGAGCAATATCACATTGGACCAACCTTTCTTGGCCCATTGGCTCATTTGCAAACCCATACACAGTTCACAACCAAGGACACACAGCAAACTATCCTGAAGCACAAAGCTTCTTCTGAGCCTCATTTCAGAGGTCTGGGAGGGGAGCAGACTTCTGTGTGTACTCTGTGGCACTGAAGGGGAGGTTAAAACGGCAGGCACTTTCCCAGATTCTGTTGCTGCACCAGATAAACTCATGGCTGAGGGAAAAGGCAGTCTGGAGGGCCCAAACAAGTGCCAGCACCATTGAAACCAAAGCAATGCTTGTGGGTTCTGCTAAAGCACCTGGATCTTAGGAGCTGCCCAAGGTCCCAAGGGCTGAGATTGGCCTTGGATTCAGGGCAGAGCCAGCAATAAATTACACTGACCAAGTTGGAGATAACGATTAGCAAATACAGGATCTGCACTAATGAGCACTGCTGAAGAAATACAACCTGTGCCGTTAATAATGATTGTGCAACCCGTACAGCACATAGGCGGCAATTATTCATACAATTAATAAATAAAAAAATAATAATAAAAATCTGACACTGCGAGTTTATTTTAGATAGCTTATAAGTTTTCATGGCACTTTGTAAGTAGTTGTCTTATTCTCACAAATTTGATAAATGGTAAAAATTGTTTTTGAACAAGAATATAAATTGTGTGAATAACTGCCCCCTATGGGACGCAGGTGGTGCTGTGGGTTAAACCACAGAGCCTAGGACTTGCCGATCAGAAGGTCGGCGGTTTGAATCCCCGCGACGAGGTGAGCTCCCGTTGCTCGGTCCCTGCTCCTGCCCACCTAGCAGTTCAGAACCACGTCAAAGTGCAAGTAGATAAATAGGTACTGCTCCGGCGGGAAGGTAAACGGCGTTTCCATGCGCTGCTCTGGTTCGCCAGAAGCGGCTTAGTCATGCTGGCCACATGACCCAGAAGCTGTACGCCGGCTCCCTCAGCCAATAAAGTGAGATGAGCACTGCAACCCCAGAGTCAGCCACGACTGGACCTAATGGTCAGGGGTCCCTTTACCTTTATGTGCTGTATGGGTTGCACAGGCCTAATGAGCACAGCAACTCATCTCCGGCAGGTCTTGCCCCGTGAAGCAATTGCTGAGATGGAAGCTCCCAGCTGGCCAAGTCCCTTCTCTCCAGGGTTTTCCCAATAAATTGGAGACTACAGCAGCATGAAACTGACTTCTCCTCTGCCCTCTTCATGCCTCTCCTGGTTCTGGGGAGCTTGTCACAGCAGGGGAGGAAGACACCCTAACTTCTTCACCAGCCTGATTCACTTCTGCCTCTTGGCCTCCCTCCTCCCCTGCTTCAGCTTCTGACTCTCAGTCTGCACATCTCTCTGCCACAGACTCTCCCTGCTCACTAAGCCCTGTGACCTCTTCAGCTTCAGACACTTCCTCCCAGTCTTCTCCCTCTGACCACTCATCATTGTCCCACCACTACTTCCCAGGCTCTGAAATTTCTTCCCTTGGGGGTTCCCAGCTGGTTCCTCCCACCATTCTTCTGTGTCCAGCCAGTATGTGACAGTAGTGTAATGACCCCAGTGTTATAAAACCACCACACCACCCCCAGCCTTTGAGGTTTGCCACAATCAAGCCTTGCACTCCTTCTAATGCAGTGGTTCTCAACCTGTGGGTCCCAAGATGTTGTTGGACTACAACTCCCCATCATCCCTGAGCTCTGGCCTTGCTAGCTAGGGGTGATGGGAGTTGTAGTTCAACAACATCTGGGGACCCACAGGTTGAGAAAGGCTGTTCTAATGTATTGTGAAAGCTTTTTGGCTTAAAGCAAGAGGACTCAGCAAGAGGTATGCGTTGGGTTCATTGAAATGATCAACATCTGTGCATGCTCTGAGCAGACAAGTATCCCAGGATTGGAAGGCATGCACCCAATTTTTTCAATGTTCTCTTTCAGTGGTGTTTATGGGTAGCCAGAAATACCCAGATGAGAATGGGTTCGATACATTCTTAAAGAAGCACGGAGGCTCAGACAATGCTTCGACAGACACAGAGCGAACAGTCTTCCATTTTGATATCCAGAAAAAATATTTTAGGGAAGCCCTCGACAGGTAACTTTGCAACACAAAACCAAATAACAACCAGGAAGATGTACACTAGAGGAGTGGGAGTGAGAAGCAATGTGCAAAGTTATTAATGGTCATTATATGCAGTTCCCACTATCTGAACACAATGCATTCTCAGGAAACAGTTTGCGAGGTGAGGGTTAACAGTTTGTGAGGTGAGGGTTCTCATAACAAGCAACAATTTCCACTGATTCTTATGGGGAATTTTGACCCCAAAATGATGGGGGGGGGAGCAGGGAAACTCCAGGAAACCCTCTGAAACCTTGCAAAAGGCAACCATGGAAGGAAAAAAATGCTCTTATTTGTCCTATCTCTTCTCTTTCCTTCCCCACCCACCCACCATGATTTCTGGCAAAATGACTGCCACATATGAGCAGAACACAAGAAGTAAGACTTATCTGAGGCTGTTTATTTGTTTACAATACTAAACTCAGGTCTGCCTGTTTGGATATTTGAATCTGTGGGGGACGTATAGCAAGGTTTGGGTACTAACACCTCATGTTTGGATAAGTGAATTTTTGTATAACAAGTGTTTGGATAGCAGGACCCGTGTGTAATTTTAAATGGTCTACTCTGAGTAAGTTACTTGAATGCAACCCAAAGGGACTGTATATGCACTTTTGAAAACAAAATATTATAGTTCTGCTTTTCAGCACAGCAGGAAACCCAATTTTCAATTTCTCTTGTAGATGGGCACAATTTTTCATCCAGCCACTGATGATTAAGGATGCAATTGACCGGAAGTTGAAGCTGTAGATAGTGGTAAAACGAATGGGTTTGATCTAATTTTTTTATTGTTGATATTCTTGCAATTCTTAAGAGAAACGATCTCATCAGGTTTACGTAGCATTCCTATCGTGAAATTTGGATGACCCATGTTTTATGTAACCACTTTATAAAAGTAATATTTAGATACAATGGCCACAATCCAGATATTTAAGCCTCCTTAAGCCCTTTGAAATAATGGTCTTAAGAGTGTTTAACTTTATGTTGGATCGTGGTCAATAAATTTTGAGAGTGTAATTTTATCAGTTCCCAGAGCATACCGAACTAGGTAATTAACTGTAAGGCTGCAATTCTAAGCATATCTTCAGGAAATAAATCCCATTGAATTCAGTAGGACTTTAAATGCATTCAGGCTATAAGTTGTTATAAAATGTGGAGATATGTCACTTTCTGGTGTGAGTTCACAATGTGTGTTAATTGTGAGGATGACATGGGTAACGAGCTAAGAGGAAAAGAGTGACCACCTTTGTCTAACTCTACTCTTTTATGTCTGAGGTTAAATACAAAGATTCACAAAGCACAACATACAACGTGGGTTTCTCGCTATGGGAAAAATCATTTGCCCCCCCCAACCCATCGTGGATTTTTCAACTGTGCTTCCAAACTTTGGATCTAATCTTCAGCTGTCTGATTTTGTGGATATATTCTCTTTAATTTCTGAGTCCTCATTTGTAAAGCAGGACTATTAATGGCCTACCTCTTTAGTCTGGTAGGATTTTAGACCTGTAATCCCATTTAAAATTGGCCTTGCACACTTTGTGAAATATTCAACAGGCTGCAGTACAATCAGAGCGTAGGACAGGATCTGGTGCTAGACATTGCTGTGCCAGGCTCAGTTCCAGACCCTAGATTTGTCCTGCATTCAACTACAGAGCATTGAATCTGGCTCCTTTTTTGGCAAACTATTTTACACTGCACATCTATGTCTGCCTTCTTGTAGGGAGGGAGGAGAAATTAGATCCTGTTTGCATTTAAAGGTGAATCTATCCAATTTGCAATTTTCTGAAACAATATGAGAATTGAAGCACAGCCATCCTTTGAAATTTGCACTTCTCCCAATTTTGTGATGTGGTTCTCCCAACCAATTAATGTTTAAAAGAATGCATATATTGGGGAAAGTGAGCCTAAAAATGAATACAGTAGTGAAATACAAAAGCACATTACATTAAGGGAAATTACTTTCAAAAATGTGCACATTATTCTAAACTGCATACAAAAATGTGTTTATTAGGAGATGCAGAGAAATGGTCATACTGCAGGCTCTAGCAGTTAGGCAGTTAAGAGCATGGCAGGTGACAAGAACAGCCATTACATATGGAAAAAAGGCCCTGGTATGTCAAGAAATGGAACCTTTGGACAGGGAGAGGGTAGAAAGGAGAAGGCTGCTCTCAGCCACCTTGGGGACAGCCTTTTCTTTCCTACATACACAAGATTATATGCCAGCAAATGTGTACAGCATGCTCAAAGGACGGTGTTTGATGAATGGCTGGATGGACCACACTTTCCTGCTTAGGATATAGCTGCAGTTCAGCAATCCATGTTCAGCAATCCAGTACGTTTCTGAGCACAATTAAAAGTGTTGGTGCTGACCTTTAAAGCCCTAAATGGCCTCGGCCCTGTATTCCTGAAGGAGTGTCTTCACCCCCATCGTTCAGCCCGGACACTGAGATCCAGTGCCAAGGCCTTCTGGCATTTCTCTCATTGTGAGAAGTGAAGTTACAGGGAACCAGACAGAGGGCCTTCTCGGTAGTGGCGCCCGCCCTGTGGAACGCCCTCCCATCAAGGAAATAAGCAGCTATCCCACTTTTAAAAGACGCTGAAGGCAGCCCTGTTTAGGGAAGTTTTTAATATTTAAAGCTGTATTGTTTTTAACACTTGATTGGGAGCCGCCCAGAGTGGCTGGGGAAACTCAGCCAGATGGGTGGGGTATAAATATATTATTATTATTATTATTATTATTATTATTATTATTATTACTTTTATTATTATTCAAAAAAAGGCAAACTGGAGGATAGGTCTGAGTCAAAGCACTGCTATACATATGCTGGTTATCAGATACACAAAAGTTAGTTTTCTGTACCATTCTTACCATTAGGGAGTCTCCATTAGGGAGACAAGATACCAGTGTGGACAGCAGGGGCCTAGCGTTGGGCTGCCAGGGGGAGGGTGCACAATTATTGTGGGGGCACAAACCAGGCCATCCCATGCAGGCAAGCTCAGCCCAGCCTGTTTCTCCTCTCCATACAGCTGAGGTCAGCCCCGCTTTGCTCCATTGGGGTTGCTCTGGCAGCATCAGTGGCGAGGGCTGGGCTAGCATCCCTCTCCGCTGCTCAGTACACACACGGGCCAGGAGCCAACAACCGACACTATGTCGCTGGTGGACAGCTTTAAAAGGGGACTCGATAAATGTATGGAGAATAAGGAGAATATATTACCTCCACTATCAGAGATGGCTGTATCTTGCCTCCAGTATCAAAGGTAACTGCATACCAGTCACTAGGGAACATGAGTAGGAAAACACTGTTGGGCTCACGTCCTGCTTGGGCATTTGGTTCGCCACTGCGGGAACAGAATGGTGAACTAGGTGGGCCTTTATTCTGATCCAGCAAAGCTCTTCTTATGAATTAAAGGGCCACTGTGATCTCTTCCTTTCCTTGCCATCCTGCTCATCCCATGGCACCATGTTGACATGGACCTAAAGGAGGAGAAGGCAATTACCACAGCTCCCACAGCTTCCATGTGATGCTGGCTATTTCTGTTCATTTAATGGGCAGTGCCTTCCTTCCCTGGTGCCCTGGGAACTCCATGATGCAGCCCATCAGATGTACGCAGCAGAATGGTTTGTTTCTTTCCATCCCTCTCAATGTAGATGAGGTAGGTAGGTCACTTCATTCACTGCTACTTCGTGTATGTGTGCTATTAGGCTGTCTCCTTGTCTAAATGATCTTATCACTGAAAAAGGTACTCTCCCTTCTGCTGCTTAATGTGTTCTTCAAAACAAACAGAATATCAAATAGCCAGGCCCTCTGATGCTAACAGAAGAGAATTGCTCCTTGGAAGCCTTGCAAAACAAGGACATCCTATGAGAAAATTCTTTTGGGGTAAGTATAATGTTGCGAGGTTCAGTTTAAAGTGCGGGGTTTTAGTTTAAAAGCATTAGGGAATTCTTGAGCTGTTGTACTTGAACAAAAGCCCTTAATTCTGGTTCCTTCCAAAGATCTTTGGCTGGTGGTTGGTTGTTGTTTTTTTCCTGCCTTGCTTCATTTCTGCTTAGTTTGGGATTTAACCCAGCATGGCCCTGAAACGCAAGCCCTGGCAAACAAATTTAGCAGATTATTTTTGACCAGCTGATTGCATGAAGTTGGCCTGTCAGCCCTGCAGAATAGCAGGTCAGGCAGCCATTACTCCCAGCCCTGACTTCATAGTGCATATTAACTCAGTATACATGAGACAACAGAGTGATTGAGTAGTGGGGGCACATTGTTATGGTCTATAACAACAACCCGGCATTGAAGAACAAAAATACTGTTCCAATCATGCCAACATTGGACCTGGATGACAGACTAAATCCTTATCTCCCCCTATCACCCATGGGCCAATGACATGAGGTGTCCTGTTTTTGCCCATGTAGATGATCAGCTGGTGTCCAACCTTTACAAACCCCATTTGGTCCACTTATGTCTAGCATCAGGTGTTGAACAGGCAGACAAGACTTGGCCAAATGACCAGGTGGGCTAAATGGAGAGGCCTGGTGAACTTAATTAGGCTTTTGGGCCAGAGGTTCCTGACCTCTGAAATAGGGGAAGAGCCATAGTTCAATGATGGAACAGATGCTCTGCCTGAAAATGGTCTCAGGTTCAGTCATTGGCATCTCCTCAGGAAGGTTGTAAAGGACTCCTATCTGAAATCCTTGAGAGTTTCTGCCCTTGGATTGCTAGATGGACTGATAATCTGACCTTCTGTATTTACTCGTCCAATATGCCATCGAATCTAATGCGCACCTCAAGTTTTAGAACCTTGAAACCAAAAAAAAGTATTTGCTGGTGAATGTAAATGTGCCATCGAATCTAATGCGTACCTTAATTTTGGCAACGTAATTTGGCCCAAAAAGGTGAGCATTAGATTCGAGTGAATATGGTATTATAAGAGAGCTGCTTAGGTTCCTGAGACATGACTTCTGGAAGTATCCATAATTTGCCATTATTTGGATGAGACTTGTTTATTAGGTGGAATTTCTAACTGAATGCAGTGTAACTGTCAAGATTGATATTTATGACTTGGGCTAATCATGCTAAAATAAAAAATAGATGCACGACTGGTCCTGGAGAAGCTTTTTAGGACTAAGATATCTGATTCACAAACACGCAAACTTAAAACCCTTGCTGATTTCAAAGTCAGAAAGCAAACCTTTTCCTGTTAAAAATTTGCAGGTAATGCGGAGACACTTAAACATTCGCCGAAAAAGAACAGAATTAACACCTATCAGAGGCTTAGGGATTTCAGGACGCGTCACTACTCAGCCCACTATATGAATCTAGTTGTCCAATCTAGAGGTATAAAAATCTCCCTGTATGAACTATAAGTTATATATATGTGAGTAAGCATGTCTGTTATACGATGCTATGTTAAGTTGTTGGTTGGGGGGTGCATGTATGTTTGGGATAATTTTGTCATGGTTGACATGAGATCCCATACCATGAACTGTTTTGCTGACAATGCAGCACCCAAGAGAAGGTGCAGATAGCAGTTGGCATGCAGGAGCAACTTTATGACTACAGGGGTCACCAATGCCAGTACCTCCTTTGGCACCCACAAAAAATTATATCAGTGAATGGGAGACTGTTTGCTCTTCCTGCTCAGTTCATATTCAGACTGACTCAGCTCCTCCTACAACAACAGTAAAGGTAAAAGGGTAAAGGGAACCCTGACCATTAGGTCCAGTCGTGGCCGACTCTGGGGTTGCGGCGCTCATCTCGCTTTATTGGCTGAGGGAGCCGGCGTACAGCTTCTGGGTCATGTGGCCAGCATGACTAAGCCCCTTCTGGCGAACCAGAGCAACGCACAGAAACGCCCTTTACCTTCCCGCCAGAGCGGTGCCTATTTATCTACTTGCACTTTGAGGTGCTTTCGAACTGCTAGGTTGGCAGGAACAGGGACCGAGCAACGGGAGCTCACCCCGTTGCAGGGATTCGAACCGCCAACCTTCTGATCGGCAAGTCCTAGGCTCTGTGGTTTAATCCACAGCACCACCTGCGTCCCTTTCCTACAACAAATAATTGCTCTTAAATAAGCCCACATTTCTTGAGATGACTGGATTGGAAACCTACCCTCTCTTCTGTTCTGAAAGGGAAGAGATAGATGCAAAGAGCTTTTCTCTGTGTGTGAACATGGCAGTGGGTGAAATATGTACTTTTTCCCATTGATGGAGGGGTGTCCATTGACACTATTTTGTCGTCCAGTCTATTTTTCTACTTCTTTCAGTGTGGCAGCCATTTTATATGATTGAGACATGGTTCACCCCAGGCCTTCCTGGGTTTATGATGTAATTCACTTAACACCAAAATGATATTTAAGCAGCTTACAAAGACTTATAGATATGGTACATAGATCTATATATTCTATATATGCATATAGAATGTACATACAGTGGTACCTCGGGTTAAGAACTTAATTTGTTCTGGAGGTCCGTTCTTAACCTGAAACTGTTCTTAACCTTAGGTACCACTTTAGTTAATGGGGCCTCCCATTGCCACCGCGCGATTTCTGTTCTCATCCTGAAGTTCTTAACCCGAGGTACTATTTCTGGGTTAGCAGAGTCTGTAGCCTGAAGTGTCTGTAACCTGAAGCATCTGTAACCCGAGGTACCACTGTATTTCATTTTATAAGCATTTGCACAAAATAAAACAATAAAACTAAAACGCAACCGTACTATGTAATGCAATAAAGTTCTAGAAAGGTAAAAAGCATAGCATCACACTTTCAAAATATTGTAAGAGTCAGGGAAAGTCTGCTGGAACAGACAAATCTTCAATTGCTTGAAGTGTTCTCACGTTCTCATGTTCTCCTGAACTGCAAGTTTAATGTGGATGTCTTCAGTGGGTATTTTTCAGGGTTCTTAATCACACAAGGAGATTCCATGCACAGAAAGGGTTCCCTGCTATATCAATGTTTTTCATTTGGTGAGTAATGCCTGAATAAGAATAACTGAGAAGGTTGCTAATCTGATACAAAAGGTGAATCATAGGGTGAAGGTTTATTAGGTATAATCTGACTAGGTAGTCCATTGAGGATGAACATCAAAACGAAGTGTGGAAAAAGTTGGGAGCTCCTGCAACTTTGCCATTTAGTTGATGCAAACATCTATGCAGTGTGGGTTGTAGCAAACAAATTAACTGCACATGTGGAAGGACTTCCATTTGTACAATGGAAATCCCCATCCCTTGGCTCCCCTATCGCCCCTCACCTGAAATGTGCTCTTTAGGCTTGGGGGAAACCCCATAGCAGATTTGAGATGGTGTGGGTGACGCACAGGAGGAAGAGGAATGAGAAGTACCATTGCATGAGTGGAATTTGTTCCATCAGTGCAATGACTTCTTTCCACACAGCCCCATGTGTTCATATTATTTAAGAAGGCTGCTTCAATATTATCACCTTAACTTTGTCCTTGTGAGAACATATTGCTTTCTTTCTCCTCCCCCTTCTTCTTCTTCTTCTTCTTCTTCTTCTTCTTCTTCTTCTTCTTCTTCTTCTTCTTCTTCTTCTTTGTCTTCTTCTTCTTCTTCTTCTTCTCTCTCTCTCAATTTTTCAATATTTCTTTATTAGAAACTCTGGACACTTTGGAGAAATGGGTGACGGAAATCTTCTCACAGATCCCAAATAAGTAAGAAATTTTGTTGTTGTTCTTTATCCTAGAACTGTTGATGGCTTGCAAAATCTGATACTTTGTGACATATCAATCAGAAATATAAAAGAGAAAGAATACGGTCAAATATTACTATGCATTTCTAAGATATAATTGTAAGAGTTTATGTGTAGCGTTGGGTTTTTTACCAGTTTTATCCTCTTTATCATAGACCTTTACTTTACCTGATCTGTTTTTGTTGAATTCTGCCAAGCCAGGGAAGAGAATCAAAGAATTATATTAAGGGGAAGAGAACTAGATATTTGAGAAATAGATGGAAGTACTAATAAAAGGTATGATCCTTGACTTCCTTTTAATTAGAGATACAATAGGACAAGGGCAAACATTAGATTGGAAACGCTGGGTCTTCCACCAAACTTGTAGCCAGCAACAAGGAAATAAATTCCATTCTGAGAACCCACTAAAGCAAAGGCTCAGATGTAGTCATAGCATCCCATGAAAATAATGTGTAATTAACTATGCATTCTTAGTTCAATGCAAACCTGTGCATATCTACTCAGAAGCAAATAACATTGAACTCAATAAGATTTAGTCCCTTGTCTATGGGATTGCCGCCTAAATATATAAATATTTGGAGAAGAGAACTGAGAGCAGGAATCAGTGGGCATTGCAATTTTTTATTTAAAAAAATCAAGCTATAACCCTGAATAATACACTATTGTTTCTTTATTGTTTTTAAGTGGATTACCCAAACCAACTTTTGGTCATCTGCCACAGCCGTTTGACACACCTGCATTTTACAAGCTTTACAAAGGTAATTAGTCTCAACCCAAAAAAAAAAAAATATCGTTGGGAAATCTGAAGGGATATCACTTACCAAACTGAGGACCCATCTACACTGTTCAGTTAAAACATTAAAAATGTGTTGTAAAAATGTGACGCCAGAGGGCGATGTAGAGCAGCGATCCATCGTCAATGAAAAATTGCATCAGAGCTACATTGCTTTATCAAAAACATTTACTGTAAGGTCCCAGGGTGGGTTACAATGATAAAACAACTGCAGTTAAAAAAAAAACAAGTATAAAAATAATTTAAAGGTAAAGGTAAAGGGACGCCTGACCATTAGGTCCATTCGTGACCGATTCTGGGGTTGCGGCGCTCATCTCGCTTTATTGGCCGAGGGAGCCGGCGTACAGCTTCCGGGTCATGTAGCCAGCAGGACTAAGCCGCTTCTGGCGAACCAGAGCAGCGCACAGAAACGCCGTTTACCTTCCCACCGGAGCGGTACCTATTTATCTACTTGCACTTTGACGTGCTTTCGAACTGCTAGGTTGGCAGGAGCAGGGACCGAATAACGGGAGCTCACCCCGTCACGGGGATTCGAACCGCGACCTTCTAGCTCTGTGGTTTAACCCACAAAACAGGTCCCTATGTTTAAAAAAAACCAATACAAACATTTAAAACAATTACATATGGTTTAAAATAGTTCATATATAGATGCAATGTGGGGTAAATATCTCTACTGACAAGACATATTGGAAGAGGAAGTTCTCCACTCAAAGTCCACCTCAGCCACAAGGTCACAGTGTGACCTTAAGGCAAACTACTATCTTAGTTTCAGCCGTCTCTAATATGTCTCTCCTGTTTTGGTTTCTACAGCCACAGCAGGCTCTGTAACTCTCCAATTGTTTGACTACACCCCTGAAGGTGCATTCTTCCATTGCTCCTGAGACAAACGGATGCCAACTTTTGGTGGTTTTTATTTACATGGCCTTATAACCTTTGGAAGTAATATGTGTTCATGTTTATTCCTCTCACCACCTCTTTCATTTCCCTTGCCCGTTTTCTCAATGTCTACTGTAAGAATAACCACCCATGTGAATATTTGAAATTGTCTCATTTCTCCTGCCTCAGTTGTTCCAGTGAAAGAAATACATTCTCTGAGCATCTCTTGGAGTCTTCCCCCACAAGAAAAGAATTATCGGTAAGAGATCATTTTAAACCTACTTCCATTTATACAACGCAGTAGCCATGAATCGGAACATAGTCAGTATCATTTTCCTCTTTTGTCTTTGGTTTCCTTGGGGTCTAGGACGCAGGTGGCACTGTGGGTAAAAGCCTCAGCACCTAGGGCTTGCCGATCGAAAGGTCAGCGGTTCGAATCCCCGCCACAGGGTGCGCTCCCGTTGCTCGGTCCCAGCGCCTGCCAACCTAGCAGTTTGAAAGCACCCCCGGGTGCAAGTAGATAAATAGGGACCGCTTACTAGTGGGAAGGTAAACGGCGTTTCCGTGTGCGGCTCTGGCTCGCCAGAGCAGCGATGTCACGCTGGCCGCGTGACCCGGAAGTGTCTCCGGACAGCGCTGGCCCCGGGCCTCTAGAGTGAGATGGGCGCACAACCCTAGAGTCTGCCAAGACTGGCCCGTACGGGCAGGGGTACCTTTACCTTTACCTTTTTTCCTTGGGGTCTAGAGAAAGTTGCCTCATGCCGAGCAAGACTAATAATAATAATAATAATAAATTTTAAGCCAAAGATGGAGAAGCTCTATACAGTCAGCAAAAACAAGACCTGGAGCTGACTGTGGCTCAGATCATCAGCTTCTTATAGCAAAATTCAAGCTAAAACTGAAGAAGGTAGGAAAAACCACTGGGCCAGTAAGATACAATCTAAGTCAAATCCCTTATGAATACACAGTGGAAGTGAGGAACAGGTTTAAGGATTTAGATTTGGTGGACAGAGTGCCTGAAGAACTATGGATGGAGGCTCGTAACATTATACAGGAGGCAGCAACTAAAATCATCGCAATGAAAAGGAAATGCAAGAAAGCAAAGTGGCTGTCCAACAAGGCCTTAAAAATAGTGGGGGAGAGGAGGCAAGCAAAATGCGAGGGAGATAGTGGCAGATACAGAAATTGACCATAAAGAAGGCTGGTCGCCGAAGAATTGATGCTTTTGAATTATGGTGCTGGAGGAGACTCTTGAGAGTCCCATGGACTGCAAGAAGATCAAACGCATCTATTCTTAAGGAAATCAGCCCTGAGTGCTCACTGGAAGGACAGATCGTGAAGCTGAGGCTCCAGTACTTTGGCCACCTCATGAGAAGAGAAGACGCCCTAGAAAAGAACCTGATGTTGGGAAAGATTGAGGGCACAAGGAGAAGGGGACGACAGAGGACGAGATGGTTGGACAGTGTTCTCGAAGCCACAAACATGAGTCTGACCAAACTGCGGGAGGCAGTGGAAGACAGGAGTGCCTGGCGTGCTCTGGTCCATGGGGTCACAAAGAGTCGGACACGACTAAATGACTAAACAACAACAACAACAAATAAATTTTATTTATACCCTGCCCTCCTCAGCCAGAGCCAGTCTCAGGGCGGCTAACACCAATAAAATTTCAGTAAAAACATAATAGGAGGAGGAGGAGGAGGAGGAGGAGGAGAAGAAGAAGAAGAAGAAGAAGAAGAAGAAGAAGAAGAAGAAGAAGAAGAAGAAGAAGAAACAATTTAAAATACAGGTTAAAATGCAATTTAAAATGCAGCCTCATTCTAAAAGTCAAAACCATAAGGGGAGGGAAACATAAGGGTCAGACTGAGTCCAAACCAAAGGCCAGGCGGAACAGCTCTGTCTTGCAGGCCCTGTGGAAAGATGTCAAGTCCCGCAGGGCCCTTGTCTCTTGTGACACAGTGTTCCACCAAGTCGGGGCCAGTACTGAAAAGGCCCTGGTCCTAGTTGAGACCAATCTAACCACCTTGCGACCTGGGACCTCCAAAATGTTGTCATTTGTGGACCTTAAGGTCCTCCGCAGGGCATACCAGGAGAGAAGGTCCCGTAGGTACGTGGGTCCTAGGCCGCATAGAGCTTTAAAGGTCAAAACCAGCACCTTAAACCTGTCCCTGTACTCCACCGGGCCACCTAGTTCTGTATCATCTCACTGGCGGGCAGTAGCTCTTCAGGGTTTCAGACAGGAATCTCTCCCCACCCTAACTGGAGATGCCAGGGATTGAACCTACGACTTCCTGCACACAAAGCAGATGCTCTACTGTTATGTACTGAAGTTCTCACCCTGGGCCAGCAGGGGGATACTGCAGATAGTTTTCATTCAGGTCCACATATGCAAATAAGGTATTGAAAGTGACGTTCAGTGATTGGATATTTACAGAAAATGGTTACTGTTGCGTTCTAGTGGAGCTCTATATAAGCAGGCTGGCTGAACCCTTCAGTTCAGTTCTGTTCTGGCCTGTGAATATACAAGAGCTGTTTGAAGAATCGCTGTGTTGTCTGATATGTTCACCCACAACTTAACATCTGCCATTGAGCTATGGTCCTTCCCTTTATTGTCTATGAAGCTATTCAGCATATAACCATGCAATCCAGTTTGCCAGAATTCCCCATAGTGTTCCTCAGTGCATAGCTAACAAGTCCATTTTGGCAAAACCATTGAGTTCAAACCCACCGAGTCCCTAGTTCCATGATCTGCTGTGCAAGAGAAAAAGGGGAAAGGATCAAATAACTCCTGAGTAGTAGTGTTGCAGTGCAATACCGAGGTTCAGTACAACTGTATTAAAAGTTGAAGAATACATTGGTTAAGTTAAAGACAGATGATTAAAGAAGAGGAGACAAGCATTGGAGTTAAGAATATAGGGCAAATGTCAAACTTATTTAATGTTTCCCCCAATCTTTGTAGGACTAAGCCTCTTCATTACCTCTCCTGGCTGGTGGGACATGAAGGCAATGGCAGTGTGCTCTCGCTTCTGAGGAAAAAGTATGTCTTGAAGATTTTGCTTTGTCAAGTTTGCACTGAAATGGGGTAATCTTATGTTGCGTGATGAAACAGCTAAACATGTCAAATTATCCCTTTTGAATATTGAGAGGCAGTAAGATGACTTACAGATTCTGAGACAATTTGAGCTGTTGTGAGTATGCATAAATCACCCCTTTTCTGCTTTATTTGCTTTTAAAATTTTGTTTGATCAGTTTTTAGGTTGTATTTTTGTTTTAATGGGTATTAAATTTTAATAGATATTGGTTTTTATATTGGATTCATAATGGATGTTGCATCCAGCTCTGAAACCATAGCTCAGTTTGATGACAAAGAGGGTCTTTTTTCCAGCTTTGGTCAGCAAGACAGCTACAGCTGTTCCTTGATCAGAGTAGCTTGACCACAGTTGTCCAAGGATTTGGTAATCAGCTTCTGCTGAACAGGGCAGAGATTTCAGTGCGGTTGCCCCATGGCTTGCATTGTAGCTGCCCCTCTTCTGTGGAATAGCATTCATGTCAAGATACCACAGGCACAGACTTTCTGCATTTTCCGGAAGCAACTGAAGATAGTTTGGTTCCGACAAGCCTCTCTTGGTTGATTAATGAATCTCTGCCATGGATGTCTAGTTTGCTGTTGCTTTTTAAAACATAAATGCTTTTTGTGCTTTTCCCTGTTTGTTTTTGTTGTTGTTGTTATTTTGCTTTTTTTTTATTGTACACCGCCTTGAGATAGGTAGAATGTGGTTACTAATAATAATGTCCATAAGTTAGGGGGGGTTACTTATCAAACAGTTTAGAAATGCTTTTAAATAAAATAGTAATCATCTCAAGTTTCCCGCCTTACTGCTTGGGTTGATTTCCTGATTCTACAAATGATTATGTCTTTGTTAAAAACCACAAAGTCATTCCAGATCAATGCATTGCAAATCACAACTATTAAACTCTATGTGGGACGCGGGTGGCGCTGTGGGTAAAAGCCTCAGCGCCTAGGACTTGCCGATCGAAAGGTCGGCGGTTCGAATCCCCGCGGCGGGGTGCGCTCCCGTTGCTCGTTTCCAGCACCTGCCAACCTAGCAGTTCGAAAGCACCCCCGGGTGCAAGTAGATAAATAGGGACCGCTTACTAGCGGGAAGGTAAACGGCGTTTCCGTGTGCGGCTCTGGCTCGCCAGAGCAGCGATGTCACGCTGGCCACATGACCAGGAAGTGTCTCCGGACAGCGCTGGCCCCCGGCCTATTGAGTGAGATGGGCGCACAACCCTAGAGTCTGTCAAGACTGGCCCGTACGGGCAGGGGTACCTTTTATGTTTATCAAATGGGAAAGTTTTCTAGTAGTACAGGCCACTGTTTGTGTGTGTGTGTGTGTGTGTGTGTGTGTGTGTGTGTGAGAGAGAGAGAGAGAGAGAGAGAATTACAAATAAATTTGCATTTTGCACCTATAAGTACCCTTCTGACGATATTCAAGGTCATGGAAGATCACTTACTCTTTTATGTTATTTTTGAAGTGGCACACATTTCTAAAAGCAAAGCACCCTTAATCCCACCTCTGTTCCCAGTTCATTGTAACAGTAATGCACTCAAAGGTAAGATGCTTTAAAATGCAATGTGGTTCATCTGCATAATCGTGGTTTTAATTTTGCAATAGATTTTGGGCTCTTGCATTATTTGGAGGAAATGGTGAGACAGGATTTGAACAAAACTCTACTTACTCCATCTTCAGCATCTCTGTGACTTTGACTGATGAAGGTTTTGAACATTTTTATGAGGTAAATTTCCCTTGTTGTTATTTATTTACTTTTATTATTTACAAAACATGATCCAGCCCTGAAACAGACAGGCATCAGTACAAACAGACAGTACTATCAGTACAAAGGACAGAGGGCTGTAGCCAACTAACTTTTACCCAGAGTAGTTCCAGAGAAATGAATGGAACCTAAGTTAATATGACTAACTTGAATATGATTATAAGGGAGGGTTATAGAGTACAGTAAAAACCATAATTATGAAAAGATAATTTGTAGATATTAAATATATATTGAGCATATAATAGATTTTGAGCCACTGCCACTGCTGCCCTGGAAAGTGTAGACAATACTGAGCTAGATTAGGCCAATGGTCTGACTTGATATAGGCCAATGGATTAGGCCAATGGTCTGACTTGATATAAGTTTGCTTCCTATGTTCTCATGTGAACAGCTGTTTGCACCAGGCTAATCCACACTACCGTTTGCCCCACTGCTTTCTCCCAGGAAAACCTGTTGCTTAGCGCTGCTGAATCAGCTTTTCTGCAGGTTGCTGTTTGTTCTGATTTATCGCTAAAGAGTAGGTTTTCCTGGGGAAAGCAGCAGGGCAAAGGCAAAATCGCTTGGACCTGTGCCTAAAAAGCATGAGGTAATTGAGAAAATGCTTGGACTCATGCTTTCTAGGCACAAGACATTCGGAAGTGTGGCCCAGCCCTTTTTCCCTGCAGATGACCTTGGCATTGATGTTCAGAGACAGGGCCAGGGGCACATTCCTGCTGTCCAGTCATCATTTGATGCCCCCTTCATGCAAGGAATGCCCAAAGTTGGATAGTAAAGTATCACAGATTAGCTCTTTCGTTACAGTGCTGCCTTACATTTAAATGTACTGGGAAACGTGGACCTTCTGCTAAATTCTGTGAAACATTTTCTTGTAGGTAAGGGCAACCAGATGATGAACCGTTTTCTTTTTCTGTCTTCAGGTTATTCATATTATATTCCAGTACTTGAAGATGTTGAGAAAGCATGGACCTGTAGAAAGGTGATTTTTAAAAAAGAAGTGCTAGAACCAAAGAAAGTGACTAGACACATTATACTAATCAGCAAAACTTACTAGGCTTATGAAATAAGGGGACAATAGTTACTCTTTTTCTGATGATCAGCAAATACTTATTATCCAATATATAATACGCTGAAGACAACTCAGAAAACCTGTTGCTTCATATGCAAAATATTATACATTTGAAAATAAATATTTGCATAACCTCCTAGACCAATATAAAGGTGAATGAATGCAATTTTTCTTAGATTTTATCAGAGCTTCACTGCCACTACAATCAGTATGAATAGGTCCTTTGTATATACAACTGAAAAAAAGCTTAAACATTTGTATGTACAAAAATTGCATGCATGTAGAATCTGTTCAGATAGTAGACTTGAACATATAAAGATCTGGGGGAACACACATTCATCCCCCAATATGCATCCAGTCTTTGCAAACAGATAATGTGCAGCAGTTTTTAACCAATGTGGTCCTGTAGTCTCATTTCAACAGTATGAATAGTGAATGCAGACAAAATACCTTCTGCATGATATCTTACCTAGAAATTCAGTTTGATTATTTTCTTGAGAGTTAAGGATTAATATGGACTCAACTTGTTCCCTCACAGAATATGGAAAGACATCCAGAAGATTGAAGGCAATGAATTTTGCTTTCAGGAACAGGTATTATCTATTCAATTTTCCAGTATTTTCTTGTATTTATACTAATACTGATATTTTCAATATGTGACTAGTTTTGCATACTGGTGTTCACACATCCCAAACCTCTCCTGTTTCAGGGACTGCTCTCTAAGAGAAATCCTAACATTGTGATGATTTCCAAATCATATTTTGCTCATTCCCCAGGTTGATCCACTTGAATTTGTAGAAAATATTTCTGAATATATGCACATATTTCGAAAGGAGGACTTTCTGATAGGAGACCAGCTACTGATTGAATATAATGCTGAAGTAAGTAATCTTCATCTGTCTTTAGGAGGAAAGCTGTTATGTAGAAGTCACTTTGAAATTCCCTCATAGGAGTTAAAAAATGTGTTGGTAACTAGAACATTTCCAAATCTTTTTCCAGTGGAGAAATACTTGTTATCAAATATTTGAATTGTGCACTTCCCTGACCAGAAGTTAGGAATGACTAGTTGAAAACAAACTGATATGTTCCATTATGTTTATAGGTCATTGCTGATGCCCTTAACCATCTCATCCCTCAAAAGGCAAACTTCGTTTTCTTTTCTCCTTACCATGAGGGAAAATGTCCCTTGAAGGAGAAATGGTTTGGGACACAATACAGCGCAACAGGTAAAACAATGTAAAGTGTCTGCGATTTAAAACATGCCTCTGAAGCTTTTAGAGCAAGGTGACAGCTAAGGATTTTCACAACAAGAACATGATGTAGTTCAGCAGAAGAGCATCTGCTTTTTGTATGCAGAAGCTTTCTGGTTCACTCCCTGCTGTTCCAGGTTGAACTGTGAACATCTCCCATCTGAAACCCTGTAGAGCAGCTTTTGGCCAGCAAGGAGAATACTGAACTAGATGAGCAATGTTCTGACTCAGTATAAGTAGTTGTATTAGGTGGTAGAGCTGCTCTTGTTCGCCAGAAGCAGCTTAGTCATGCTGGCCACATGACCCAGAAGCTCCCTCGGCCAATAAAATGAGATGAGCGCCGCAACCCCAGAGTCTGTCACGACTGGACCTAATGGTCAGGGGTCCCCTTACCTTTACGTTTATTATTACCTTCATCACCAGAGATCAGATGCCTCAGAATACCAGTTCCTGGGGTGTCATGAGTACTATTCCACTCGTGTCCTGCTTGTGAGCTTCCCATAATAATCTGGTTGGCCACTGTAACAACAGAATGTTGGACAAGGCAAGCCTTTGATCTGATTCAATAGGTTTCTTCTCATGTTCTTTTAGGTGCCTAAAGCTTGTGTCTGCTTGCAGAATTACGCCAGTCTGAATTTAGGCCCAGTGTTGATTCAGTGCAGCGTCCTGGCTGTTGAACCTGGTTAACACTTGGCTTGGATGACCCTCCAACTTACATTTTGTGATAGCAGAATAATGCCATTTTATGTCATATCCACAGAAATCGATGCATACTGGAGCACATTGTGGGACACGGATTTCATGCTGCATCCAGATTTACACCTACCGGAAGAAAATCAATTTATAGGTAAGCAGTACAAGAAGAGGATCTCGTTCCAACTGCATATCCTGCCTGAAGACAGTCTTGCAATTGCCTGGGTTGAGAACAAGCTTTCCATGAATACAGTTGTACACAGAGGACTCTTTCCAGACCTTACCCTGAGTACATTTTAGTTGACGTGTCAGTACACTGTCACCTAATCCTGTGTTTTCAGCCATGTTCATCCAGTCATTAGTTGCAGCCTCAATAATGGACTTGTATGGGCTTCCATGGACCAGTCACAGCTGAAAGAACTCATATCACCAAGGGTCTGTTCAAACACAATACATTTCAAATTCACACCTTTGGCTAAGGGTCATTGAGTGCATGCTTGTAGAAGCAGTTGTTGTGGCGATGCAGAGCTGCCCTCCAGCATTGCTGCAGGATGGTGATGAGGTTGGCGCCAGTGGCGTAGCGTGGGTTGTCAGCACCCGGGGCAAGGCAAGTAATTTGCGCCCCCTAACCCGTGGATTTGCGCCCCCTAACCCGTGGATGTGCGCCCCCTAACCCGTGGTTTGCCCTAACCCCAGATGTTGCGCCCGGTGCGGCCGGCCCCCCCTGCACCCCCCACGCTACGCCACTGGTTGGCGCTGCAAGGATGCTCCATCAGAGTCATTCAGAAGTTTCCTTGCTTGAAGATTGTCTTCCACAGGTTGGAGAATAATGAGAACAGTGACAGGAGGTGGAACTGACACGGTGGTTCTCGCTGCCTCCCTCATGTTTTTGTTTAACTTCCAATGATCATGAACAAAAGCACAAAAGCCAGATACTTCTTGTTACAAGTGTGGATCAGTGCTTTATGTCTCTGAACATCTTCAAAGGCAGTTGTAACAAGCACATATGCAGCAGTAACATAAGAAACTACCTTTACATCCAAGTGTTATGGATGAATGGTGTTCACATTTAGCAACCTGTTATTTTATCTCCCATGCTAGCTACAGATTTCACTGTGAAGAAATCAACTGAGCACAAAACAGAATATCCACACAAAATATTGGATACCAAACAAGGTTGTCTGTGGTACAAGAAAGACAATAAATTTAGTGTCCCGAAAGGTAAAACTCAATATATTGCATTTATAAAATGGGTACAACCAAGGCGTGTGGCGCACACACATTTACAAGTTTGGGAGAGGACTAGCTAAATATTGCTAGAAAACTTCAAATTTGTTTACTGTTAAATGCAATCAGCACTCTAGAGAGTGCTTATCATTCAAAGATTCTTACCAATGTACCCTTGGGGGAAACTGACAAGAAAGGGGTTTAAAAAGAGTGCTTCACAAGAAGCTAACAAAAGGTAAAGCAGAATTTGGTGTCTGTCCTCCTGCACAGTTGATGAGAGGTTGACTTGAGGATACACTTGCTAGTTGACCTAGGTCCAGCATACAGCTAACATGGTACACAAGGGTTCGGTTCTGGGGGTCCACTTGTAAACACAAAAATGCCTAAATCCAGGAACTACCCCCCACCCGCAAGATAGAGGTCTGCTTGCCCAGCTTTGGGAAGGAGACAGGAGGACTCGAGGACTCTGCCAGAGCCCTTACACCACCTTCTCAAAGCTAGATAAGCTCCGATTGCAGCTTTGAGTGTTGGGGAGAGGGAAGGGATAAAGAAATTGCGAGGGGAATCTCCTATTTGTAGTTATCGCTTCCACTCACAGAGTCTCTGAACATTGGACCCTTTCAGTAGCCAAACATCTCTGCACCTTTCATAAGGATAGAGTAGCCCTCAGAACTGGCCCCTCCTTCATTCCTAAGGTAGTGTGTCCTGTTTTCACATGCAACCAGAATTGGTATTTCCTACCTTCTGTCCAAATCCCTCTCACTGTCTAGAGAAAGCTCTGCACTCCCTTGATGTCTGGCTGGACCTGAAGGTCAACATTGCCAGGGCAAAGGAGTTTAGGTGTATGGCCGCTTCCTGTGTCTCCTTTCTCCCTACCCCATTACCTAAATGTGTTGCCCTGCACACTGTCCAGTTGGAGACTGTCCAATGGATGTACATTTAGAATAGTGCTAATCACCACTCAGTGCTGATAGAAATTGTGCCCAAATGTGGCCACTGAAAAACAAAGAGGGTGTCATCAGCCTGCTCACTGGAGCACCAAAATGTGCAGGAATTGCATTTTTTAAAGTACAACAGCCCAGAGGAGCAGAGGCAAAAAGTCTAAGGAGTACAGGGCATTTACACCCTCCTCCTGACTAAATCTCCTCGTTCATGAAATTTTGATTCTTCTGTTTTTTTTCTTTTTCCCTTCTCCCTCCTGCCCAGCATTTATCTGTTTTTATCTGGTGACTCCAGTGATACAACAGTCTGCATTAAAGTAAGTAGTGATATCTAATATATTACATTAATTTAACTGGGAGATAGGAGGACATTTCTATTCAGATTACTTTCCATTTTTCCTAATTTGCTGTTGCCTGGATTGTATAAAGTGGCAAGTTGATAATACAGTGTTCAACATTTATTTGTCTGCTTTTCTAGATACAGGATGTAGTGGAAAGTATCTGTGGCTTCTGAACATGGCTGGATTTGACCCTTTTGCTTCATAACAGCTTGTAGTTCCTACTATGAGAAGGCATCATCTAGGGAACTCTCATTAGGCTCTCATTTCCACCTCTTACAATTAACTCTCATTTCACAGCAATGTCCTTAGCCTGAAAAAGTCAGAGACCAAAAATAAAGGAAAATAGAACAAGCCTCCTTTGACACTTTCTCCCTATTGTGATGAGTAATGTACAGTAAGAAACTCTGAATACTGGAAAATATATCTAGATGGAATATAATAATACAATAGTTTACCTACAATACAATACAATACAATACAATACAATACAATAGGTGCTTTTTATAATAGTGGTATATTATAACATGCTATGATTGATAGAGTGAGATTATTTGAGGTGTGTGTGTGTGTGTGTGTTTATATTACTATTACTATTATTATTATTAATTGAATTTATATACAGTGGTGCCTCGCAAGACGAAAAGAATCTGTTCCGCGATTCTCTTCGTCTAGCGGTTTTTTCATCTTGCGAAGCAACCCTATTAGCGGCTAAGCGGATTAGCGCTATTAGCGGTTTAGTGGCTTAGCGGCTATTAAAGGATTAGCAGCTAAGCTGCTAAAAGTCTATTAGCGGCTTAGCGGCTTAGAAAAGGGGGGGGAGCGGAAAAAAAATCGCAAGACTAGCAAGACGTTTCGTCTTGCGAAGCAAGCCCATAGGGAAAATCGTCTTGCGAAGCAACTCAGAAATGGAAAACCCTTTCGTCTAGCGGGTTTTCCGTCTTGCGAGGCATTCGTCTTGCGGGGCACCACTGTACTGCCCTATATCTGGAAGTCTCAGGATGGTTAATGCATGATTATATTGTATAATCTTTACATATCTTTTAATAATTAAAAAAGAGCAACCGTCAAATGATGCCTTTTATGAAAATCCGCAGAAATTAATGGCATCTGCCTTTATTTGGTTGCTATCTTGATATTACAGTTATTTCAAGAACACGTAAAGAGGATTTTTCATTGTTCGAAACTTTATCCTTCCTAAGTGTGATAAGATTGTACTAACACCCACTTTCATGTCTAGCCTGTGAATTATGGTACTTGAACTCCTTTGAGTCCACTGTTTTAAACATTTCCACTTATTCTTCTCCATCCAGTATGGTGCTTTTTGATACTTTTGTAAGCACACTTTCCCACAACCTTGCTGAGTCAGCGTATCAAGCAGATGTTGCTCAGATGGAATACAAAATCATAGCCAAAGAACATGGTCTGGTCATTCGAGTGAAAGGCTTTAACCATAAACTACCTGTGAGTAGTCCATATATTTTAGTCAATTTAATCTGTGTCGGTCCCAGTGAACATGCACATGGTAATGTCTTCATCATACTGGGCAGCTTAAATAAGGTGAAAGAATAAGGTGTCCTTCCTGTAGTCCTTATGGTATCATATCTACTCTGTCTGAGGTTGAAGGATTATTTGTGATGTTGGTCCAGAGAGCCAGAACAGGGATGTTGTTAGTGTAGCGTCTATCCAGCTGTGCTACAGTCTCCCTAACTAAGCTGGTGGGGGTCCTCTTAGATGTGGTGTTGGAGAACCCTTTCATTGTGGTGTTAGGGGACTTCAGCATTCACATCAAGGCTGCCTCAAATGGGCCAGCTCAGGACTTCAGGGCCTCCATGACAGCCATGGGGGGCTTTCTCAGTATATCAGTGGTCCCACACACATGCATGGATGCATCCTCGACCTGATCTTTGCCACAGAACTGATTAGTAATACTCCATTGATTGGAGGGGGCATCACTGTACATCCATTGCCACTGGCCATCCATTCCCTCATGACATTTGAGCTGAATGTAGCTACTCCACTCCACAGTGTATAGCTTTTAGCAATAAAGATTCATTCACTCCACTGTTCAAGGCTGGGAGACCCATTAAAAGGTTCTGCCCTCAGAGATGAAAAATGATGGGTTCCTGGATGATCTGGGGAGTTTCTGTCTGACATGACTGGTCCTTCTGTTGAGGGTTTTGTCTGACTATAGAATGGTGAGAATAGCCAATGACACAACATGAGGTGTCTGTTAGGTTACAACTGTGTGCCCACTTACCTGAAGACAATCCCCACAGAACTAGCATGTCATACTTCTGAGTAAACATTCATGTACCACGTATCTCTTCATTTGGTCAAATTTTCCTTTTTCTTTGCAGTTGCTCTTTCAACTGATCATTGATCACTTGTCTAACCTCAGTGTCTCGCCTTCAGCTTTCCAGATGATAATTGAACAGCTAAAAAAGACATATTTTAACAATCTCCTCAAAACAGATTCGCTGGCAAAGTGAGTGTCTGCAGGGAGACTACATGCAAAGGCTCAGTGGTAGAAAATCGGCTTTGCTAAAGAAACTTTCACATATAGCCAAGAATAAGTCTAAGATCAGATTGATATGAGTCTTGTGTTGATTTTCCACTTGCAAGAATCAAAATGATTGCCAAGCATTAAATGACTGCTCATGTCACCATTTTTAAAAGACCCCTCAGCCTCGTGCAGGATCTCATAAGGAGTTGTGAGAAACAGGAAGGATCTGCCTAGCCTGCCACCCCAGAGCTGCAACACTGCCATACACAGGTTCCTATGGCCATCTAACAAAGAAGGGAGTGAGGAAAACATGTCCTTTAGCCATGGCAGTTGGGGTTGATGGGACTTGGGAGACCAACTACATATGAAGGGCCACAGGTTCCTCATTGCTGTCTTGGGAGTGTGGGGAGGCTACACAGCAAAATTATGTCACCAATCCCTCTTGCATTTGTTATTTTGATATATTTTAATTAGCTGAGGCTGCATTTCCAATTATTCTGAGTGTTGCCATTTTAGGGGTACTAAAAGTCCAAGATGGTGAAAAAATAAATTAACGTACATTTACTGATGCATCTTACAGAGATCTCCGACTCTCGATTCTGGAGCATGGCAGGTGGTCTTTAGTAGAAAAATATCAAACTATTAGTAGTGGCGTTACCATAGAAGATCTACAAGCATTTGTGACAGCTTTCAAATCAAAACTGTGGGTAGAGGGACTTGTCCAAGGAAACTTTCTGAGCAATGTGAGTATGGAGTTGGAAAGCTGAAATTTGGGTTCTGCCTGCAATGGAAGCAAAGAAAATAGACATAGTTGTTGAACACTAAATATGATTTCCATGAATGCAAAAATGCCTTGTTCCGTTTATATTGTGTACGTATTTGGAAAATAGCCCCATTCATTTCAATAATGTTTGATCTTTTATCCTTATGTCCTAGGAAGCAAAGGACTTTATGAATTATATTGCTGGGTGAGTATCCTGGTTTGATTCTTACTATTAAGAAATATACATAGGGTTCTGAGAGAGGGAAGAGGGATGCATTTGGTCAGGTTTCTTTGTTTTGAACACCCAGTTTATTATTAAATGAAAACTGCATTTTGATGAGCATTGCTGAATGCTATAAAATGTTTATTAACATCCATCCTTCCCCAAGTGAATTTTTATTGTTTTCCTTACATATTCTTTTCCAACAAACTGTAATAGCACCATACATTCCCTTTGACTCTGCCGAGTCGCGACCCCCCTCCCTCCCCACAACTGGTATATTTATCCTCTTTCCATCACGCACATCATTCTCATATTAGTACTATTATACATTGGAGGTATTATGCCAATCCTGCTAGTGTCTTGACCTCTTTACAATTCTTCTTTAAATATTCAATAAATTTACTCCAGTTATTTTGGTATCTTTGATCTCCCTGGTCCCGGATCCTCCCTGACAGTTTGGCAAGTTCTGCATATTCTGTCAACTTCGCCTGCCACTCCTGAATCGTTGGTATATCTTGTACTTTCCATCTTTGGGCTATTAACATCCATCCTTGATTTTCCTCCTAATTTTTTTAAAAGAATGAAATATATTGTCATGGTTTGGATGTAACAATAAACCACATTTTAGCATTACAAAGATGAGCTGCAGTGAACTTCAGGCTCTCATGCTTCTCCTTCTTCAGTGCAGCCATGAGAAGAAAATTGGAGGGTCCCTCTCCTGTTCTAGATTAACTACATCTAATTGTTACATCTCAAATGTAAGCAGTGATTACTCTTAAATATAATTTGTTCAAACAAACCAACTTCTTAAAGTACAAAATGAAATTGGGCTTTTTTTCAAAAAACCACAGTGATATTAACCACAGTTTGTCAGGTTTGGATCGCACAGGAAGTTGTGATTAATTTTTTTTAAAAAGTGGGGGAGCAGAACTTCAGTCATGCTTGAGTCATTCGTCCTCAAATCATACAGTACTTGCTACTCATTTAATATTGGTCATCCTATTCCACTCTCACACATCTGCCAATACACATGCACCATACGTTCCTCTTACTAAGAAGTAGCCTCAGACATTTCAACACACGTAAGTTGCACTCCACAAACACAACAAACAAAACTTGAATAGGGACACTCTTATTGCCATCCCATCAGGGTTGTGTCTCAACAGTGCTGGTCTCCAAACATCTATGTAACTCTTTGTAGTAGTCAAACCTTGCTGTTACCAGAGTATTGGTAATTTATATTTGGTGCAAGTTTGCCGAAGTTCAACTGTGCCCAAGTCAGGAGGAGATAAAGGTCAAGGAGGCAAACACTGGCTATTCATGGGAGCAGCCTACCACTTCAGGGTACACCTAAGGCTAAGTACTGGTGTGCATCATATAGGTAGAAAGTACAAGTGTGAATATGAACATATCTGTGATGATTACTTCCTTCACAAATATGTTCATATGATGAAGATGAGAAACGGTGGCTCCTCTTTCATTTTGCCCCTCTCTCTTTTCAGAAAATTACAGTTTGTTCCTCTCATACACCCATGCCCTATTCAGTTCCGGGTGATAGAACTGCCAAACACTCACATTCTGTGTAAAGTGAAATCCCTTCATGCAGGCGATCCAAACTCTGATGTGACTGTCTACTACCAGGTATCGTAGACTCGGACCTATTACAGTGCATCCTGAGTGCTACTACTGAGAAGTAAGCTCCATTGAGTTCTATGGGACTTACTCCCCAGAAACTGTTAAAGGATTGCTGCCTTTATGTTGGGTTTTGTATTCATTAGGGATGGTGGGGAATCCTGACTGGGAAAAGGAGCAGAAATTGCTGGTGTTTGCTTATTTGTCCTATGTCCAGAATGGAAACCAGTCCAGCAAATAGGATTGATATTCACTTTCATAATTGATTCCATTTTCTCCCCATTTGCATTATGTTTCTGTTGCATTTAAATACTGCCCCCATCATTTGCATATCTCATTTGGGGCCCTGTCTGAGCTGTGGGGTTCTGAAATCCAGCCCCACTATTTGCTATTCTAAAACATAGCAGTGCCTAGCTTGACTTTGGGGCAGAGGGAGCAGCATATGGCCACCATACTAATTTCAGGGATGTGGGAATACAAGGAGAATGGGGTAAGAAAAGGTGAGAGAGGGGGTGGCAGAAAAGGAAAAAAGGTAGCAGAAAGGGAATGGGGTGCCCCATCCATTTTTACTCTGGTCTCACCCACTACCAGGATGCAGCCCTGACCCCCACCCACTGATTAGCCCTGAAGGATTAACCCCCACCCTCTGACCTAGACAATTGCTATTTAACCCACATTCTCTTGCCTAAACTTAAAAGGCAAGAAAATTAAAGGAGATGGTTTATCCATTGAATTTCAACCCTATTCCTTTCAGATCAATATAAGGTGGGGATGACTAGTTGCCCCTCGCATAATTTCAAGACGTGGGGCTGGCACTGCCAGGCACCTCTGCTCCTTCAAATTCTCACCCCACACCAAATTGTGTCCTAACAGGCATTCATGCCATAGAAAATCCATGGAGAATGTTCCAAGAAAGTAATTGTCAAGCCCTGTTTCTAGGAAATGTGGGTTTCTAGGAAAAGAGGCCCAGATACTTGACAGAATTTTTCATTGAGGAGAATGTCATGACAAAGAAGCTTCTATGAAAAATAGATTGTCAGCCATGACCAGCTGTCCCCCAGAATGCATTCAAAACCACACAGTTTGTGTGGGACAAAAGTCAGCTAGGTTGACTGGCAACTTTGTGTGACAGGACTTCTTTAGCAAAAACGGGGGTAGGTATGGCAAGGCTCCCTAAAAACAGGAAGTTAGAAAACTACTGATATTCTTCACTATTAAGTTTTCCCTGTGGCAACTCAGAGACTTGAATGGAGCTCTCAGGTTCATAGAGAAATCGAAGAAGCATTATTTATTTATTTTTAAATATTTTATTAAGGATTTTCTTGTTTTACAGAAGTGTAGTGCCTCTTATTTTTTTTTTCATGTAACATTTTTACAAATCCGTTTCATTTGTTGAGGCATTAGGGGGAGAAGAAAAGAAAAGAAAAGAAAAGAAAAGAAAAGAAAAGAAAAGAAAAGAAAAGAAAAGAAAAGAAAAAGAAAGGGGGGTGGAGAGAGGGAAGATGGATGGGGGTGGGGTCGGGTGGCGGTGTTTCTATTATGTTTAATGTATGTAGAGTTTGGTGTCAGCGTGCTTGTGTTGTTCACTTGTGTTCCTTTGGTGGTGAGAGAGGTTGGGGTTGGCCTAGGGTGTGATTGGCTGTGGTGATCTTTGTTTCCGTGTGTGAGTGAGGTGGGTGGGTGTTTTGGATCAGGTTAGCCATATTGATTTGTATGCTGTTGGTGGATTATTGTCATTGTCCTGTTGGGCTGTGTGTGTGATAAAGAAGACCCGTTAATGACTGTTTTATTCATTCTCTCTCTCTCTCTCTCTCTCTCTCTCTCTCTCTCTCTCTCTCTTTGCTTAAGACGGGTGCAAAGAATTTAAAAGAATACTCCCTCACAGAACTGCTTGTGGTAAGCTTTTCTTAATGTGTATCCTTCAGGTTTTTGGTGTATCCTTTGAAAAGTGTGAAATATAAATGCAACACAAAAAGGTGTATCATTCATATTAGTCATTGACGGACCTTGCCCACTGCACATTGGAATGCCCGTTTTCTTCTTCCCCAGAATGCTGTCCAGTTGTTGATTATGTAAACACAATGCCCAAGGTTCAGGAACAAGCTAATGTAAAGTGCAGTTTGTTTAGTAGGTCTGTTGAATTAGCAAGATGGCAATGGGAGTTTTCATTTAGTGGCAAGAAAAGAGGGATGTAATGTAAGGGAACCTAGTTGCATTTTATGTGTTCCAGTTCTCCAGAGTCTGGAACATCTCCAGTCCAGGTTTTACACTAAGTTCACAAACTCTAGAGACTAGATCTGGAGTCAATTGCTAAACAAACAAACAAACAAACAAACAAACTGGTGTGGCACTGTGGGTTAAACCACACAGCCTAGGACTTGCCAATCAGAAGGTCAGCGGTTCCAATCCCCGCGACGGGGTGAGCTCCCATTGCTCGGTCCCTGCTCCTGCCAACCTAGCAGTTCAAACGCACGTCAAAATGCAAGTAGATAAATAGGTACCGCTCCTGTGGGAAGGTAAACAGCATTTCCGTGCACTTCTGTGGTTCGCCAGAAGCGGCTTAGTCATGCTGGCCACATGTACTCCAGCTCCCTCGGCCAATAAAGCGAGATGAGCGCCGCAACCCCAGAGTCGGTCACGACTGGACCTAATGGCCAGGGGTCCCTTTACCTTTACTTACTTTTCACTTTTCTCATGTTTAATGTGTATTAAGCGTTTGTTCTCAGTGGTTTGTTCACCATCTTTTGTGGTTTGGACACCATCCTACATCATACCATGTAGATGTTTGCCACAATAATCCAAGCCCTGATGGGATCCAGGGTATTGTAGCCCCTACAACAGCTCCCCGGTTGAAGTCTTCCCTCTCTCCCCTTTTCCTTTATTGTACTTCACTGTGCTGCAGCATCATATGGCTGGCCAAAAAGGAGGCATGGCATAAAATATTGTGTGAACTCCTTGATGATGGAATCATTTATTTTTAAATGCACCCTATTATACTCTCAAATGATAAGTGTCAGCCAAGGTAAGTTTTCAATACCTGGTAACTTTTTAAAGGGAGGGGAAAAGAGTCACACGTGTTGAGGTTTATTGCTTATTGTATTTCGAATATTTGTTTCTTGGTCAAAGAAAATATCCCTGCAAATATAATGTTCCGTTTCAGATGCATATGGAGGAGCCATGCTTTGACTTCTTGCGAACAAAGAATACCCTGGGGTGAGTTTGCCATCTGAAGAAAGGCTTTGCAGTAAATATCACTTCATATACAAGAATTTCAGAGTACTTGATTTCTCTGAGTTCTTCCTGCTATTTAACAAGAGATAGAAATATGGAATGTGTTTAAGTTAAGGGTCACCAAATTCTGTATTCTTGGAGGCCCCCTCATTCACCAGTCCAGACAAGTCATAGGGAAGGGGGACAGTCAAAAATTCAAAACTCAGATGTTCAGGCTCTATAATACAGCTGGTATCCCTAACCCAGGGATGGTTAATGTGGCATCCAGCACATATTGTTGGACCCTAGTTTCCATCAGCTCCAGGGATAATGGGAGTTGTAGTCCAGCCCCAGGGAGTTGGAGATGACCCTATCATTCTATTATTCCAGCAATAAAGGTTTTACAGATATACACCATGTGTGCTTGTAAAGTCACTAATGAAGTGTAAATGAGCTTGCAAAAAAAGAAGCCCCAAATGAGAAAATCAGCAGTGGCCCTTTCCAAAATGCACATTAGGCAACAGTACAAGAAGACTTGGATGATATTGCATCCAAAAGCTCTGTGAGTAATGTCCTAGTCATTATCAGAGTAAACCCACTGAAATTTATGGAATAAAGTTACTCTAAATATGAGTAATGCTGGATATCATCTTCCAATGGATGACTCTGAGAGCTAACCCTTTATTACATCTAATTCAAATCTGGTATTAAAGAAATAGTAGTGGCAGGGGGAAGTTAAATAAAGATGCTTCAGGGGCCAACTCCAGCCCGTTCTAGGTTTTGTCTGCATGCGAAATTTCTCATGATACCATTACCAAGAACCAGGGACCAAAACCTTTGAAGTCTTGCCTCTCCAGCTGTTCAGTAATTTCAGTTTGGGTGCAGACACAATGCAAACACAAGATCTCCAAAACAGTTTAATATATGGTGCCATGCTGTAGTCACAAATGTCACAACTGTTACGGTAAGGCATACAGAATTAGCCTGAAAAAAAGTACAACATAGTTAGAACAAATCTTGAAATGTGCCTTCCATTTAGGCAGCTGGCACATTGAAAGGCAGTAATGAAATCACTGGTTTAAAGCACTAATTCTAATGATGCAATCTGAACCATCTACCAAGTATTGCTTCCATGCACTTTAATTGAGCATGTGGGAGAACCGGTTTTGATGGATAGCTCCCATATACTAGTTAGTACTTGTTAATGATCAGAATAAAATGACTTGTGCTTGTGGAATGTTATTCTTTTCCTTTGATTTAAGCTACCATGTCTACCCTTCCACAAGAAATACATCTGGGATCCTGGGTTTCTCTGTTACCGTAACAACACAGGCAACCAAATATAAGTAAGTCGCCTATTAATATTTTTTCAAGAGCAGTTAAATTTAATATTATTGTTTCCATCCTAGGGCTCTGAACATTCTAGGGCTCTGCATAGGCCTGCACTTTTCCAAAACAGATATGACATGTTTAGAGTATAAAATGCAGCCAAGGTGCATTGTATGTCCCATAATTCCCCATTAATAATGTTTCTACTGCTCTCTTCCAAAGCGCTTGAGAATCTTAGTGTCTTTTGCAAGATGCATTTGCTTAAGTATACATTATGTGTTTCCTTGTATAAGCTTTTCTACATGAATTGTCTGTGGCCTGGAGGCAGGTACAATTAATCACGCGAAAAACTAAAGGAACAATGAGTTTGGCCATGATATCTCAAGATTCGGCTGGCTGTGCCTATGCCAAGAAAACGGACAATGTCACAACAAAGTGACATTTGGGTCCGCCATCTTGATTCAAACTGGTGGTGAGCACCCAAACATCAACAAAAAACACCACTTCAGGAGTCCTTGTGACAAGCTTGGTGATGATATCTCGAGAGGTTGCCCAACCTATAGAAAACAAACAGGCACACAAACCATTTTTCAAGACTGATAGAATGAAAACATCCTGGCTTGTTTGTTCAGATAGGTGATGGGAACAGTGAAATGGCTGCATGAGGGGACATCAGACTCATATGTATCTTATTAAGTTCAGGTGTTATTGGTCCAATGCAGCCATTGTGGTTAATGTAAGTCCAATTGCCTAAATAGCACATCAGACTTTAGCTGGATTGGGAGCTGTCTAATAAAGGTAGAAGGGACGCGGGTGGCACTGTGGGTTAAACCACAGAGCCTAGGACTTGCCCATCAGAAGGTTGGCGGTTCAAATCCCCGCAACGGCATGAGCTCCCGTTGCTCGGTCCCTGCTCCTGCCAACCTAGCAGTTCAAAAGCACCTCAAGGTGCAAGTAGATAAATAGGTACCACTCTGGTGGGAAGGTAAGCGGTGTTTCCATGCGCTGCTCTGGTTCACCAGAAGCAGCTTAGTCATGCTGGCCACATGACCCGGAAGCTGTACGCCAGCTCCCTCAGCCAATAAAGCGAGATGAGCACCGCAACCCCAGAGTCGGTCACGACTGGACCTAATGGTCAGGGTTCCCTTTACCTTTAATAAAGGTAGACTTTATAAGACTATATAGTTAATAAAATCCTTTATTTCGTATGTTGCTTTGAAACAAATGTAGAAGAGCTCAGACTTAATGGTGGGGAATTAATAAGCAAATATTGCCTCCTGTACCTTCAGTGGAAGCAGCCTTCCATGGCATAGAAAGGCAAAGTCTGAATCTAACCTAAAGGACCCAGTGTTTTTCAAGCAACAAAGCTAGAAAAACAAAATCCTGGATTCCACAACCTCCCTGCTTGATTGCCTGTCCTGGTCTTATTGCAGCGTGTTAAAACCCAAGTTTCAGTTTCCAAATGCGTACAGCTGTCACCCCCAGAATTTAAAACACCTGTTTCTTCTATGTGCTGTAAATATGATTCTTACATTTTAAAGTCTCAATTGAGTAGTTGTCATAATTAATCAATTAGCTGAACCAAGATCACCAGCCAGCACTGTTGCTTTCTTTCTTTCTTTTATGAAGCTCTTGCCTGTGAAAATATGCTCATTGCTGGTAATATAAAGAACCTGAGAATGTTTATATTCGGGCAGTGCATTTGAGATGAATCTTCAAGCAACAAATGAGTTCCCTATTGTTTGCTTGAGAGAAACTGTTATCTTAATTAACCAGCTGTAAAATATTACCTTTGTTGAATGCAATACATTCCACACAAGTGCTACTATTATTTTTCATTTGAGGCCTGTCAGATTCAGTCTCTCCAGGCTTAGCAGGTGCATGATATACCAAAAGCTTCAGGACACTCTGGTTTCTTGTTGGTCCCTTTGCTTCCTTTTTGGGATGCTTGCTGCGGAATTCAATCTTTGTGAATTCCTATGTGAAATTTTCCCCCCTCTAACAATGCATGCACTGCTTCCTAAAGCAAAGGACCATATAGAAACTTCAGTTATTGAGTGGTATATAAATAACTTAATAAAATAAAGACAAGTCTTACAAAAGACAACCTAAAATATTCACTTTTTAAATGCCAATAAAAGAAAACATTAAAAACAAGTTACATTTTTTAAAGCCATTAATTTTTTTTAAAAAAATGTTACCGACTAAAAAACTACATGTTAATATGGCATGCAAAAATTATGCACTTACGGAAAAGAAAATGTTGCTAGCGGGCATGGAAAATAAACAATAGAGTGAAGACAGTTAACTGCCTGCTATCAATGGGAAGGGAGTTCCCAAGAGTGGCACCTGCCATGCCCTCAATTTGTTGCAGAATGTACATATATCATGTGGCACTTGTAAAAGTGCCAGTTCCGCAGATCTAAGAGGTCATGTGGGCACATAAGGGGTTAGGTCAATAACAACTAAACTTCTTATGCCCTTGATAACTTTTAGCACTGAATTTGTTGATAAAAAAATAGAAGAGTTCTTTGTGCACTTTGAAGAAAAACTCCGGAAATTAACTGAAGACGAATTCTCTGCTCAGGTAAGACTTGTGGCTTGTTTTACGTTGTGCGTTGCATCCAGACTGGTTTAGGCACCTGAGCATTTATCTTGGACATCTTGTGGGACATCTTCAAGAGAAAATAAGGCAAAGGAGTAAGCCTTACACAAATCTGGAGTGGAGTCCCTAAGACAGTTGGATGGTACGCCTCCTTCAGCAACTCCTGCAGCCAAGCTGGTGCCAAACGTATTGCTCTGATTTCCTTTGACCACATAAGTGAGGCCAAGGTGGGGGATTGTCATCTAGGCAGCCCAGGACCTCTGGACACACTGCCCAGGCTTGCACCTTAGGGAGGTCACTTTGGTGCTGCTAACATAGCAGTTTGACTTCACCCTTGGAGGCATACTCCATTGTCTCTCAAGAAAGATGGATGCCAGCAACCAACAAGGGGTCATATACACAACACTTGTCCCATGTCTTGAAGTATGGATCCAAGAGGTTATCTGCTTGTCGTGTGCTTTCTATGCCTGGGGTCCCATTTCCCCTGCCACTTTCCCTTGGAAAGCCTGCTCTTTACCACTGAATCGGAGCAAATATCCATCTGCTGGATACCTGGTGTGGCAATCACAAAGGGTCCCCGGTGCCGCCAATTTATTTCTCTGTGCCACCACTTTCCTTCTCACTGCCACCACCCAGGCCCTACCTGGTACAATACTGCATCCAGTCAGGGTTAAATTGGAACATAAACTTCTGTTTATTTATTGCAGTTTAACAAGCGTGTGGTTTCATAAACGGTATCGGTCAATTACAAACGAGGGGTGCCTATCCAGACCTATAACTTCCACTGCCTGCTCTCACTCACTAAACCACCTCTCAGATATTTACTTGTCTTTCTAGCTCCTAACTGTTCCTGACTCAGCTTATTTCGCTACACTAACTCAACCTACCCACAAACTCTATCCCAATTCACTCCCACTCCAACCAACCACCCAACGAACTCCTCCCTTTGCCCCTCCCAGAGCTGGTTTTATAGTCCCTCTGACTCCACCCCCTGGGTCCTGATTGGGTAACCTGTTTAACTATTTCACCTCCAGCACTCTCATATGTTAATGTCACACCTGGTTTGCTCTAATTCAGTGCTAAAGTGTAGGTTTTCCTGGGGGAAAGCACTGAGACAAGCGGAAGAATGGACAAGCCCTAAGTTAAGCTATAAAGGTCAAATAGATTGCTGCCACACCATAATTTTGCTGTTGCTCTGTGCCTCTCCACTGCTGCACAGATTTTGCTTGCCTGTTCATTGGATCAGAGCATAAAAAGGAGTGCACGCCTTGGAACGAGAAACAAACATTCATGGCAACGTGCAAGTTTTGCTTTTTGGAAGCAGAACTTTGTCAAAAGCAGAGACATTCCTACAGGAGCCGCATGTTTTACAGGTCTCAGCTCTCATAAAGCTTAAGCAAACTGACGATGCCCATCTTGGGGAAGAGGTGGACAGGAACTGGAACGAAGTGCTTACTCAGCAGTACGTGTTTGACAGACTTGCCCGAGAGGTAGTAAATAGTAAAACGCTACCCGTCTTCGTCTCTTGTTAATTGTTTGTTGTAATCGTTAAGTGGCTTTGCTCCTGGTCCATAAAATGGGGGGGGGGGGTATTGCCTTTGTGGGACTGCGCTGACTGTGTGTGATTGCCTACATGGTGCTGACAAGGCCAAAAGGGGAGACCTGAGATCTAGGCTTCCTAATTGAATTATGCTCTTGCAAAACAAAGCAAAAAAATTAACGCACAGCTCTTCACAAGTGAAAATGAACAGCTCGTTTACCACTTGAATGTTCTCTCAGTGTTTGTCATGTGTGAGGCAGCTGTGCCTTGAGATCTTCAAGATCCCAAAATGTGGTTACGGGGGGAAATTTCTTATATTGGTGTCAGATTTTCTCTCACTTGTAGGAATCAACATCTAGCTTGCCTCCCATCTGCCCCAAGCTGGGGTGACTGTTCTGCTAAGCTTGCTAATGTGAGTTTATACATTGTGATGAGTGTACGGGGCTGTTGGAACACTTGCACTGGGTGGATTCCAAAATGAGAATCTAAACAGCCGAACTGATGTGTAGCATATCCCTTATTTTTTTCTTAATACCTGGTTTTTATGGAAGCCGCCCAGAGTGGCTGGGGAGGCCCAGCCAGATGGGCGGGGTATAAATAATAAATTATTATTATTATTATTATTATTATTATTATTATTATTATCCAGATCAAGCCTTTCAATTGGCATTCTTTCCAAGTCAATGGACATAGGACTGCAAGATAAACTATCCCATATAAGATGGTTCAAGGTGTATCTCTACTGTGGGGAAGGGAGAAGAAACTATGGAGGAATTTATGTAATGGTGCTCATTTATAATGCTCATGCACCAAACACTCCTCCTAGGACAATATCTGCATTTTGGGTCGTTTTAGGTGGGGAACCTCAGTTCCAGGGGCCAAAATGTGGTCCTCTGGGTCTCTCTGTCTTGCCCTTCCCAGCCAAGCTAAGCCTCCTCCTTGGCCTCAGTCCTACTTTGCACCCTTCTTGAGAGTTTTTTGCCTGTCTGGTATGTGTCTGATAATGCCTCTTGCTTGCTGGATGGAGGACACAAAGGAGTGTGTATCTGTCCTAAGAAGCTCTCTTTCTTTTATGGCTTATAGATTGTAGCCCTGAAGAGCTTTAGAAAATCCCATTTGCTTGACTGGTTCCTAGGATTCAGGGGCAAGAACAAACGAGTGCTGAGCACCCACGTGAGTATACCTGAAATCAGAGTATGTGTGCTCTCTTGTAGATAGATATGTAAATATGGGAGTACCAATGGATGCTATATATATACATACATACATATATATATATATACATATATATATATATATATACATATATGCTTTCGTAGATTTTCACGGGTACAGGAATGCAGGTTTTGGTGTTCTCGGGTGTCTTCCCGTGTAAAAGTTGGGGTGTCTAGGCGACGTTTCGACGAGATCTCACTCGTCATCTTCAGGCTGGTGCTTTCGGCTTCTTGTTACTGGAACAGAGCAGGATCTCAGTGTTTGAGTTCCTATAAATACTGTTGAGGGGGTGTGGTGTATAGCCTCCTATGTTCTGGGCAGAGAGGAAGTTCCCAGGCTAGTGTGCCTTTTCTTCTTTTGTTCCTTAATTAATTGAGGGGTATCTTGAGTGATTTCTTGAGTGATATTCTGAGTACCACTTAGGTGGGTCATTAGGTGTGGATTAGTTGCTAAAGCCTTCGTGTCTTGACCTCTTGAACTTTGTGAAGAGTTTTTCTGAGAAGATGGCTGTACTGCACTTAGTTGTGCTCTGGCTTGGCTTCGTGTATAGGGGCGAGCTGTGGTTTTGTGCCCTGTGCCAGCCAGATCTGTGTAGGGATTGCAGGGGGGTGCAGCATCCGGAGGTGCCACCATGGTTTGGCTACTGGATGGTGTCTGTAATTTATCTGTGGAGAGGGTCTGGGTTTGGGTCTGGTGTGGTTGATTGGTGATGGCGTTCTGTGTGCCTCTGGATCTGGTGTCGGTTTTTGTGGGGAGGGCTAATTTCCAGATGTCTGGCAGGCGGGACGTGTCGTCACGCTTGTTCATGTTGTGAGGGTGTTTCTCTATCTCGATGGCTTCCATGATTATTCTCTTGTGGTGATGTTCCATGTTAAAGAGCAATTTGGAATCTGCAAAATTAATTTCGTGTCCTGTTTCTTTCATGTGTTGGAAAAGAGAGGAAGTTTTTTCTTCTTTTTTGACGGCATTCTTGTGTTCTGCGATACGTGCATTTATTCGTCTGTTTGTTTGTCCAATGTACGTGGCTGGGCAGACTTTGCAGGGTATTTCATAGACCCCTTGGTTTTCTAACTGGATTTTATCTTTGGGGTTTCTGAGGATATTGGCTATTTTTTGGTTGGTGCAAAAGGCTGTTTTGATATTGTGTTTATGGAGGATTTTGCTAATTTTATCTGTAGTGCCCTTGATATAAGGAAGGAGGGCCATGCCATTGTTTTCTTCTGTGTCTTGGTTTTTGGGGGGTGTTTCTTTTTGGATTAGCTTCGTAACCCTGTTTTGCTGGTATCCATTGGCGATTAACACATTTGAGAGATTCTGTAACTCAGTTGTCAAGTGGTCTTTGTCAGCCAGGCGTTTGGTTCTGGAGATGAGAGTCTTGGCTACGGAGTTTATTTGTGCAGGGTGGTGGTGTGATTGTGCATGTAAGTAGCGGTTGGTGTGTGTTTTTTTCCGGTAGATAGTGTGTCCTAGGGAGCCATCAGGTTTTTTGTAGATTAGGACGTCCTAATCTACAAAAAACCTGATCCTTGACGTCCTAATCTACAAACCTGATCCTTGACGTCCTAATCTACAAAAAACCTGATGGCTCCCTAGGACACACTATCTACCGGAAAAAAAACACACACCAACCGCTACTTACATGCACAATCACACCACCACCCTGCACAAATAAACTCCGTAGCCAAGACTCTCATCTCCAGAACCAAACGCCTGGCTGACAAAGACCACTTGACAACTGAGTTACAGAATCTCTCAAATGTGTTAATCGCCAATGGATACCAGCAAAACAGGGTTACGAAGCTAATCCAAAAAGAAACACCCCCCAAAAACCAAGACACAGAAGAAAACAATGGCATGGCCCTCCTTCCTTATATCAAGGGCACTACAGATAAAATTAACAAAATCCTCCATAAACACAATATCAAAACAGCCTTTTGCACCAACCAAAAAATAGCCAATATCCTCAGAAACCCCAAAGATAAAATCCAGTTAGAAAACCAAGGGGTCTATGAAATACCCTGCAAAGTCTGCCCAGCCACGTACATTGGACAAACAAACAGACGAATAAATGCACGTATCGCAGAACACAAGAATGCCGTCAAAAAAGAAGAAAAAACTTCCTCTCTTTTCCAACACATGAAAGAAACAGGACACGAAATTAATTTTGCAGATTCCAAATTGCTCTTTAACATGGAACATCACCACAAGAGAATAATCATGGAAGCCATCGAGATAGAGAAACACCCTCACAACATGAACAAGCGTGACGACACGTCCCGCCTGCCAGACATCTGGAAATTAGCCCTCCCCACAAAAACCGACACCAGATCCAGAGGCACACAGAACGCCATCACCAATCAACCACACCAGACCCAAACCCAGACCCTCTCCACAGATAAATTACAGACACCATCCAGTAGCCAAACCATGGTGGCACCTCCGGATGCTGCACCCCCCTGCAATCCCTACACAGATCTGGCTGGCACAGGGCACAAAACCACAGCTCGCCCCTATACACGAAGCCAAGCCAGAGCACAACTAAGTGCAGTACAGCCATCTTCTCAGAAAAACTCTTCACAAAGTTCAAGAGGTCAAGACACGAAGGCTTTAGCAACTAATCCACACCTAATGACCCACCTAAGTGGTACTCAGAATATCACTCAAGAAATCACTCAAGATACCCCTCAATTAATTAAGGAACAAAAGAAGAAAAGGCACACTAGCCTGGGAACTTCCTCTCTGCCCAGAACATTGGAGGCTATACACCACACCCCCTCAACAGTATTTATAGGAACTCAAACACTGAGATCCTGCTCTGTTCCAGTAACAAGAAGCCGAAAGCACCAGCCTGAAGATGACGAGTGAGATCTCGTCGAAACGTCGCCTAGACACCCCAACTTTTACACGGGAAGACACCCGAGAACACCAAAACCTGCATATACATATATATATATATATATATATATATATATATATATATATATATATCTCAGGGATGGGGAACTGAAGTCCGGGGGGGGGGTCAAACACTTCTCTGTCTGGCCCTTGGAGTCGTCCCCCCACAGGCCTCATTTCTCACTCAAACCTGTTTCATGTCTTCCTTGAATGCTTTGGATTACCTAGAATGTGGCCTCACCTAGTTGGAGAGTCATTTGTGTATTTGAGTAGAAACCCCTGGCTTTTGCATGGCTGGAATGTAGCTTACTATGAAATGGTAAGAGCAACGTCCATTGTCCCTCTCTTGCTTTTGCCTATAGATGGATAGTAACAGTGGCATTCTAGTCCATATTATACCTTGGGCCCTTGAGTCCAGCCTTCCCTCAATAACTTATTGTGTGCTACTGATTTACAGAAAGCAGTAGGAAGACTCTCCTTTTATTTACTTGTCTGTGTCATTCAAAGCCAGCACAGGGGACGATACCCTAACCCAGGGATAGCCAACAGATGCCTTGCAGATGTTGCTAAACTACAACTTCCATCATCCTTGACCATCAGCCAAGCTGACTGGCTCTGACGGGAAATGGAGGGGACCACATTGGCTTCCCCTGTCTAATCTAAAGTCCTCCAGATCTAGGACACATTCATGAATTGAAAATCTGTATTTGTGGGATAGAACAGCAAGAGCAACTTGTTTGGTAAAGAACTAACAAATAGCAGTTATAAGATACCTGACATCCCTCTTTATCACCTGTCCTAACTCCCCATCTTTTTACATGCGTCTTCATTGTCTCTGATAACTCTCCATCTTCTTCCCACTCTTCCTTCAACTTTGTCCAACTATCTAGCTCCCTAACTGACATTGTTAGGCAAAGTCTTGGTCCACCTGTCACTCAGTCACCACCCCACCATTCCATCACTCTCCCCTGCTGTCAATCCTTCTCTCACACATTCTTCTGTTACACTAAGAATGAAACATCTGCTAACCACTTGACGGCAGAACCTGTAATTCTAGACTTATGGAATCTTGCCCCCTTTGTAGCTTTCAGCCTCTGGCATGGTGACCTGGAAGCATCATTACGAGATGTACTTCCTGTTCTCTTGCACAATTTCACACTTATGCTTCCTGTTTTGTAATATCAGAAGAAGAAGAACTTCCACATTTCCCTTGTGGGGAGGACGCATGTCTCCCTGCCTGTGGAAGCATGGGGAGATTAGTACTGTAGGTTCTGCTTTGGATATTTAGAAGAACAGAGATTGCAACTCATTAACACAGACACACACCACACTAAAATTCACCACTCTGGACCATAAGAAAATCCCTTATGCCAAGTCAGACCCTTGATCCATCTAGCTCAACATTATCTACACTGGCTGGCAGCAGCCCTTAAGGATTTTAAACAGGAGCCTCTCCCAACCCTGCCTGGAGATGCCAAAGATTCTTCTGCATGGAAGGCAGGTGTGCTCTGTCTGAGCTATGACGCATATGCCATGATCACGCACACAAATAAAAATCCACAAATATTCCATACTACCTACTCAAAATCCTTATGTTTGCAGTCAGAGCTGTACAACACTGATTTGGTTATTTTTGAGATTTGATCAATGTTTCTTCCATCTCATGACCTTTGGCTTTCTTAAAAACCGCAGTCATCTGAACTCATTAAGGAAATGCTCCTTATTTTTACAGGTTTGTTATCTTCTCAGCTGTTTGTTTGTTTGTTTGTTTCATGGGGGTTTAATTGGCTTAAATAAAAAAAAGTGATGAGATCTTCATTTTTCTCTCAATAAGGTCTGCAGTGTATTAGAAGTCAATCTCAAATTTTAAAGTTTCTACATTTAACCTCCTATCTCAAGGTTTGCCGAGTGGTTCCCTCTAGATGTTGCCAGACTTCACCTCCCATTAAAAAGCACTGAGCAGTGGCGTAGCGTGGGGGGTGCAGGGGGGGCCGGCCGCACCGGGCGCAACATCTGAGGGTTAGGGTTAGGGGGCGCAAATCCACAGGTTAGGGGGCACAAATCCATGGGTTAGCGGGTGCAAATTACTTGCCTTGCCCCGGGTGCTGACAACCCACGCTACGCCACTGGCACTGAGATAGCTCAGTTGGTAGAACATAGTGCTGTTAATGCCAAGGTTGCAGGTTGGATCCCTGTGTGGGACAGCTGCATATTCCTGCATTGCAGAGGGTTGGACTAGATGATTGTCAGGGTCCCTTCCAACTCTACAATTCTATGATTAGCTCCAGCCAGTGTGGCCAGCGTGGAGGGACGACTGGACATGTAGATGAGCCACACCTGGAGGGCACAATTTTGACTATTCGGGTTCTACATTACTAGATAAAGTTTGCAGGTGGAGTTAGTTTTAGGGGTTTTGCACTGTGGTGCTTTCCATCTGAAGTGAAATCCGATACATTCATCTCCAAATTGACTTCAAGCACCCAATATTACCCAACCAGCAACTTTCTGTTTATAAGATAATGTGCAACGCTGTTTGCCAAAACAAAGCTATGCCCCCATCTCCCTTGCAAGCTTGCTGTATGTTTACTGAATTTGTACACCAGGAAATCATTTTGCAGTAACCCAGATGTTTGGGCCAAGTTTGTCATATGCAAAAGTGTGCCTACAGTTTGTTCATGTATCATCGGTTGATAGAAAGCCTGTCAGAAATGACATAATTAACATGATGTCAGGATTGTGCTTGCAGGAGACCAGACTCTGTTGAACTTTTAGACCCCAGGTGTTTGCTGCTTTGGTAACTGCTTGGCCTTTGAATTCACAGGTGGTTGGCTATGGCAAACAGGAAGGGAACACGGATTTCTCACGCACCTACAGCGTTCAGGGGACTTTCTTTGGCAAAACAGCTGAACTAACATTCCTCCCCTCCTCTCCCCTGCTGAATCTCCCTTCTGTTATGGACATACGGGCCTTCACCTCAACGCTTAACGTTCTTCCTTACCACAAGATACTAAAATAAACCGTCATCAGCTTTAGCCTCAAGGTTGCTTATGTGTTGAGCTTTCATGGTACTATACTCCACATGCTACTGGAACCAGATCATTGGCTGTGCTGGCTAAAACTGATGGGAGATGGAAGTCCAGCAACATCTGGAAGTCCACCTTTGCCATATTGTCTCTTATTTTGTCTCCACCTTGTTTGATATGCAGACCGTTTTGTGGGGGGAAGTGTGAAAAGGGCCCAGGTAGCACCAAGTTCAAAATGACTGGGAAATCTCCGAGAAAACTCTAAGAACAGCACAGTGCCCCCAGTACAGGCAACAACCAATGTACACACATCCAACTGATGTGTGGCCAGGCACACGCACATCATGCTGAACCAGGAAGTGACTTTAAAAATAGGAAGGGGGGAAGTCATGAAAACAGAAATCCCATGAACCTTTGCAAATACAACCCCAGGAGCCCTTGCACTGACCATTGAGGCCTGTGGAGAGTTGAGAGTTTGAAGGGAGCGATTGTGGCGGAGTTTGGTGTCTGGTAAGTTGAAATATACTCGAAGTCGAGAGTGGATTTCATGCTCTTTATTCAGCTTATAGTGGTGAGGAGGAATGTCTGCTTTATATACATTATTTACACAATGGGCCCCACGTGATTGGCTAATTCCGGGATTCACCTGTAGACCAATCTGGTTGCAGATTCACTTCCACCTGGAGCTGGATTGGGTGGCTCCTGTGGACCGATCAGACTGCTGCATTCTGGACCCTATTGTTCTAGGACCAATCAGACTGCTGCATTCTGAATCCTATTGTTCTAGGACCAATCAGACTACTGCCTTTTGGATCCTATTCAACTCAGTACATAAGTGCTGCTGGTATTTTTAAAGAGTTTTCCAAGGCTTTCCAGAGGTTTAGAAGGTGTTTGCAGATTTTTCCAATAGTGTTTCAAATATACACGACTTGTAACTTGCCTTGGGATTCAACCCCCATGTAAATGGGGAGTTGCCTGCATTTCCATATAGAGTGCTTTGAATGACTTGGGGGGGGGACTCCCATCTCTTGTGGGGGTGCAATTAATGCCAGCACTGTCCATTAAGAGTTTGGGTGTAATCTTCGACACCTCCCTTTCCATGGAGGCACAGATTGCAGCTACAACAAAGGCGGCATTTTTCCATCTCCGCCAAGCTAAGCAGTTGGCTCCTTACCTCTCTTGCCCTGACCTAGCCACTGTGATCCACACGACGGTCACCTCCAGACTGGATTATTGTAACTCGCTCTACGTGGGGCTGCCCTTGAGACTGACCCAGAAACTCCAGCGGGTGCAGAATGCCGCGGCGAGACTCTTTACGGGGTCCTTGCTGTGATTAACCTTTAAAACCCTATACGGCCTAGGACCCTTGTCCTCTCCTGGTATGTCCCACAGAGGAGCTTACGGTCTTCAAATAAAAACATCTTGAAGGTCCCAGGCCACAGAGAGGTTAGGCTGGCCTCAACTAGAGCCAGGGCTTTTTCGGCTATGGCCCCGATTTGGTGGAACGCTCTGTCACAAGGTACTAGGGCCCTGCGGGACTTGACATCTTTCCGCAGGGCCTGCAAGACAGAGCTGTTCCACCAGGCCTTTGGTCAGGGCACAGCCTGACTCCCTCCTTTGGCAATCTTCACAGAACTCTAGCCCAGTGGTTGCCATCAATTTGATTTGAATTAATTTTATAATGAAATGATTTTAGAATGCTGTACTATTCTATTGTTGTTAGCTGCCCTGAGCCCAGCTTCGGCTGGGGAGGGCAGGATATAAATAAAATTTATTATTGTTATTATTATTATTTCTCTGAATATATCACCTTCTTCTCGGTGGTGGCCCCCTTGTTGTAGAATGCTCTTGACAAGGTTGTTTATCTACCCCTATTATCTGTTTAAACTATGAGTTCCATCCAACACTTGTCTGTCTGCTAGCACAAGGGGCCTTGCATTGGTGGAGATCTACTAACACAGGGCAGTAATCGCCAACATGGTGCCCTCCAGATGATGTTTATCCGTGTGTGTCCAATCATCAGTGCTGACCAAATGCCCAGAATTATACAGCCCTTTTTATATTTTTTTAAAAAACAAACCTCTTAGTCTACTCTTTTTAATGTAGCAGAGAATAAAAAGCCTGAGACCTGTGGTCCTATCCCTCAGCTGGAGCCCACGGGTACCTCAGGGTTTGTGATTAAAAGTAAACCAGTTTATGGTTCAACTCTGGAATAGCTCTCGTTTCTGTAAATGATCATTTGCACTCAGCCACCCAGAGCAACACAATAGCCTGGAGTGTTGCAATCAGCGATCCTAAGGAAATCTGAGAAGAGATGAGAAAAGTGTGATGCAATTTCTCGTCCTCTGCTGTAAACTGTACTTGAAAAAGAACACATTTGTGCCAAGGGTTCATGCGCTACAGGCCATGGGGAATTTGCAAATTAAAGCACTTTCAAAGTACTTTTTCCAACTCCAGTTTCCCCAGTGTACTATTACTACTTAAGAAGGACTGATAGGATATTGCCATTCCAAGTTATTTCTCACATAACATAACCAAAAAGATGGCATTTAGCCTCCTAAGGTGGAAAGCAGACACATTGGCCACAATCCAAATATCAACTTTTAAGCATGCCCAAGTGTGATTTTTGTTTTAGGGGAGAAGATTTTTGCCTTCCCCTTCTGCCCTTTGAATAGCAGGCCCCTAAGAACATGCTTTTCAAAGTGCATAGAGGTCACCTCTAGATGTATTTTTGCAACAGGGATTCAAAGGCATGCTAGAAATACTGTGAAATTAAAGTGGATTAAAGCACTCTGTTGCCCTAGTGCAACAAACCCATCTTTAAATAAATAAACTTCATGTGATGGAGCTCCACAACCTGGAACTAGCACACTTTGGAAAACCACTGCTCTACAAGAGTCAGGGTAGTGTAGTGGTTAAAGTTTTGTATTAGGACTTGGGATCCCAGGGTTTTAACACACACACCCCAAGTGAGCTTGGGGGGGGGTTAAAACCCTGGTATCCCAGGTCCTGGTATCCCAGGACCTTTGCCAACAAAGGTCCGTATAGTTAAAGGTATGGTTTTCCCAGTAGTGATGTATGGAAGTGAGAGCTGGACCATAAAGAAGGCTGATTGCCGAAGAATTGATGCTTTTGAATTATGGTGCTGGAGGAGACTCTTGAGAGTCCCATGGACTGCAAGAAGATCCAATCTATCCATTCCGAAGGAAATCAGCCCTGAGTGCTCACTGGAAGGACAGATCGTGAAGCTGAGACTCCAATACTTTGGCCCACCTCATGAGAAGAGAGGACTCCCTGGAAAAGACCCTGATGTTAGGAAAGATGGAGGGCACAATGAGAAGGGGACGACAGAGGACGAGATGGTTGGATAGTGTTCTCAAAGCTACCAGCATGAGTTTGACTAAACTGTGGGAGACAGCGGAAGACAGAAGTGCCTGGCGTGCTCTGGTCCATGGGGTCACGAAGAGTCGGACACAACTAAACGACTAAACAACAACGAGTGAGCTTAGGCCAGTCACAGCCTCACAGCCTATCTTAACACACAGGGTTGTTGTGAGGATAAAATGGGGAGGGGGGGAGATGACTATATATACCACCTTGAGTCCCTTGGAGGACAGGTGGGATATAAATGCAATTAATGAATGAGCGAATGAATTAATAGCATGCTGCTAGGCGTATTTAAGTAGCAACTCTGAAGGATCTGGCAAACATAAATGCTTTATGCTTACAAACCTATGGTGTGTGGGGGGGTGAGCATTTTATGGTTTCCACCATGACTTGTGTGTGTCTGTGTATTTTACACTGGTGCTTTAAGAGACATCTGTCTGAAACCTTTCTCCCTGAACCTTCATTTCAATGTCAATTTAGCAAAACAGGGAGAAAAACAAATATTTTGTTTCAACACAATGCTTCTCCTTCAGCTCAGTGAGAAATAATCCCTAAAAAGGGTAAGATTTCAATTATAAGTCAGCCCGCTAATAAATCCTCCCCATCTTTGTGGCAAAGGAATTATTTGCACTAGGCTGCAACACCCTCTGCGGTCTGAGCAGGCCCTTGCTTTGCTTGTAACACAAGCTAGCACATTAGCGCCACATTCCTCCAATTTTGTGAAGCATTCCGCTGCAGACTTAGCACTCATTTGATCTGATTAGTTCCCTGCTCTTTCAGTTAGGCCATTTCACTGTTTTCTGAAAGCGGTGCTAAGTCAGCCACTAAAGAAATGAACCCTTGTTTTCCTTAGCACCCTCGTACGCCTTGATCACAACGCAGAGCCTAAAATCTGCACATGTTTCCTCTTGTGCACATCAACACGAGACAGCACAAGCTATGGACTGGCTCTTCGATCCATGAATCATTCGTTTCTGAGAATTCCCTTCCTTCTTAGCCTCAAAAGGTAGGATGGGAGGACAACTGAACACTGGATATCTTCACCCCCATTGTCTCCAGCGACTGATGGCTGCCAACTGGATATAAATTGTAGGAAGTTGGTGCACATTCCATATACAATGCTACGTTTATGGAAGGGACCAGCATAGGGCTCAGTGAATCTTGCTTCCATCCATTCACTTTCCTAGTTGGCCCGTGGATGTTTATACCTGCTGCTGCTTGTACTTCACTCAGAATGATCCGCTTGTGGGCCAGAACCAGAGAGGGGCAGCTGTAGGGTGGGTGATGGAAGGAGTGGACTGGCTTCCTATTGCAAGTAATGGCCAGAGAAGGAAGGAAGGCCATATCCAACTTCTGCCCAAGATGGTGGTTCACACCCTTCTTACATATATATGTAGAAGAAGAAGAAGAGGTGTTTGGATTTGATATCCCGCTTTATCACTACCCTAAGGAGTCTCAAAGCGGCTAACATTCTGCTTTCCCTTCCTCCCCCACAACAAACACTCTGTGAGGTGAGTGGGGCTGAGAGACTTCAGAGAAGTGTGATTGGCCCAAGGTCACCCAGCAACTGCATGTGGAGGAGCGGAGACGCGAACCCGGTTCCCCA